TTCATCACCTTCACGTGATGGACCTCCCCAGAAACCCAGTGAAAGGTTGGGGTCTCAACCTCCAGCATGTGTCAGGGTAAGTCAGAGAAGCCATCACAAGGAGAAGAAGAAAAAGACGGAAACCAAGTTTTGCAAAGGATCTGATTCAATGTCATCTTGTTGAAAGATCCCATGATAAATCCTGTTGCAACATACAGTTGTAGACCTGAACGTTTTACAGAGCATGACATAACGAGGCGTGGTTGCCACTTTCCTTTACTTCCCAGGAGACTGTTAACATGTTAGGTACTCATTACATGTAGCACTGCAGAAAGTAAAGTTTATAAAAAGACAACCAAGAACTGGACGATACTCATGCCAGCGGCGCACTGGGCTTGTGGTGCTAGCTAGCCTTATGTTTTGTAGACTAGTCGGCACGCGTTTTACAATGAGAAAATGATAGTAAGATTATCTCAATATTCATACAACAATTTATATCATAACAACAACCTATATCAAAGCAATATGTGAAACAGTGCAAATTATATATTTGTCTTAAATAAACAATTACATAATAAATAAAATAACAAATATACACTCGGAGAACTCGAGGAACGCTATATATCACAGCTATAAACCTAAGGGTTGAACATGATGTTTTACATAAAAAAATGCTACTATTAATACTACTACTCAGAGGGTGATATAATCAATATCGCGCCGTCTGCTTTTATTTCCTAGGAGTATTAGCTGGTATGGCAAACTACTGGACGTAAATTTGCCTAGAAAAACCACATAACATGTTAGGGTTGGCTCTGCAACGTCCTGTAAAAAAATACGCAACTAATCATATTTTAGCTGGTACCCACTTTAGGCTGCATCGACCTAGGAGTCAACGGCATTTTTTTTTGGGGGGGGGGGGGGGACACTCCGTCTGGATGCGGATTCGAACCCAAGAATTTAGGCTAACAGACGAGCGCCTAGCCACTACGCCACCTCGGCTCCTGCGCTGTAACAATGTGGCTAACACAATTGTCTGTCAGGTGGCTAAAACCTTCATTCAGTCAGTCAGCTTGTCCTTTACAGAACGTTGTTCTCGTCACAGCACGTCAGAAAGTCTCTCTTTCTCTAGTCAAGTCTCCAGCCCTATGTACTTTCATAATCAATGCATCTTCAATGTCCTGGGTCCACGTCGGCGAGGTCTGCCTCGATTATCGGTGCGGGCGCCCACCATCACCATTTTCTCCAGACCATCATAACACTTGTTACGTTAGTTGCGTATCCTTTACAGAACGTTCTAGAACCAACACCAGCACTGGCTGTTGTGGTTTTTCTAGGCGAATTTACGTCCTGTAGTTTGCCATTGCTACCGGACGGTCGGCTTCTCGATACCACTGTCGAAACCAGCGCAAGGCCTGCAGCTGGGATCGAACCAGGCACCCCGGCATTACAGAGTGCGTGGGCAACGCCTTAGCCACAGACGCCGACCATAACACTTGGGGTGTCGAAAAATATATCAGATTTGGGGATAGGGTGCTGTTTATGAGCCAGTGTCCCTTGATGTTTAAGTCATGCAGAATGTCAACGGTTTTCTTCTTCTTAGTCATACAATATTTAAAAATAAATAATCAACTTTAGCATTGCAGATCAATAGTTCTGATTTTCTACTTCAAAGAAGGTTTGCGGAACTTACCAAATTAGATACCAATTTGAACTATAAACGGAATCTAAAACATCTGACCACTTTAATTATGAAATTTATGGGATCTCCCGGGTCAAGACATTCTTACACATTGTTTCAACAACTGATCTGGGAAATTGACTACTCTATTGCCATCCTAACAGAGACAACTACCTGCCAACCTGAAATCCTTGTGTTCGAGTCCGTATCGACAAGGATTTTCTTCTCTCTCCAAAATTGACCTTGGTTCCCAGGTCGACCCAACCTAAAACGTCCATTTGAGAACCACATACGGAAAAATGAACAGTACTGTCTTTTGATTATCACCTCCTCCTGTGTGTTTCGATCCTATTCCATCGGGGTACACATGCCTGAGAATTGAGGAACTAATAGTCTGCATACAAATAAGCTAGATGTGTTATGTCCAACCCTTCCTGTCAAGAATAAATCGGTGAGTTAGGGAATGCTCACCCAGCATACACAGTCTGGATTCGGCGGACCTTGGTTCAACCACGCCCTTCTGGGGCTGTTTATACGTGGTTCAACGGACAAGAAAGCAACTACCAGCAGGCTCTGTAGACAGCCTTAAGCACGGCAAGGCACTAAAGTAGCCCTGGTCATCTACTGCACCTGAGTTAATCCCCAGACGTCTTGCCACTGGACTTAGATGTACTTGGGAAGAGAGTGAGATCGACCAATTGGGCAACGCTTCCTCACTTAAATCAAAATAACAGCGCAAGACATCCTTTAATCCCTCCGTCCTCAGCTGTGATGGATGAACACCAACATCATAATTAATCAAGATATCGAGTTTCTACAGAAACAAGTATCCGGGCAGATGGATAACATCAGATGGAAGATGCATAACTGAGATAAGAAACAGAATAGGACAGGCAAAAACTGCATTTTATAAAATGTAGAACATCTTGTGCAAAATATCCTTGTCATTGAGTTAGAAAAAGAGTTCTTGCTTGCTGCATACATCCAGTTTTAACATATGGCTGTGAATCCTGGACAATCGGTAGGCAGGCCAAACAATTTTTTGAGGCCTCAGAGATGTGGTTTTACAGAAGAATGCTTAGAATACCTTGGACAGCCAAAAAAGAGCAACCAAGAGGTTTTAAAAGAGGCGGGAGCTCGAAGAAAACTTATCACAGACATCAGAAGGAGACAGTCATCATTTTTCGGTCATGTTATGAGAAGAGGGAAAATAGAACATGTTGTGACTACTGGAAAGATCTGTGGAAGAAGGGATAGAGGAAGACAACGAGAGAAGATTCTTGACAGTCTTGTTGCATGGCATGGAGGTGTGTCGGCACACAAGCTGATACATGCTGCAGGAGATCGTGGATTATGGAGAGGTATGATCGCCCACGCCAGTCGGCATAGCACATGATGATGATGCTGATCGAGTTTCTTTCTTTTCATATTCTCGATATTTACGTTTAATACCTTTGGTTATTTTTAATGGCATAGATTACACGTGCAAACTAAAACGAATGTACTAAAGGCAAAACCTAAGGGGGATGTTGCCTAAAGGAAGGGGAGAGACAATAAAGGATAAGATAAATCTATTCCTTAAACAACCTCTACCCCAAGCATATTATAACTCCAACAAAGAATGTCGTGGTGAATGGAAGCCGAAACCCACACCCAAGCTGCCTTAGTAGCCCCCCCTCCCCCCCCCAAAAAAAAAATGTTCGTTTGGCGGGACTAAGATTTATAGTGTCTTAGCTCTGAGAGAAAAATTTTCTGTGTGCAGTCCAATTAGCAGTAACAGTAACCAGGCACATCAAATAAATTGTAAGTCCCCTATTACAGAAACTTTATTTCACTCAACCAACTGTTGCAGGCAGGTGTTACATCGATAATGTTTGCTGTTTATTAGCCAATCTTCCTTAAAGTTCAGATCTTTCAAGACGTCAGTATTTCTCCTAATTTTCATCCAAGATATTCTGAGAATCTTTCTAAAGCATTTCAGCTCAAAAGCCCATATTCTCTTTCACTGGGAGATAGTCGACAACGCACATCTGTATGTTGCTATAGGAAAAATTCATGCTCTCAAAATTCTAATTCTGATCTCCTTGCTGGTGCCTAACTTGTAGGCTGTTTAAATTACTACTAATACTACTAAATTACTACTATTGACTTCTCCGTGTGGGAAAAACAAGAATTTACACACTGCTTGCCTTACGTATGTCGTGAGAGTCGACTAATTGGTGGCTTCCACCGATTTTGGAGTGCATTTGCCTGAGATGCAGGAAACTAACAGTCTGCATAAAAAAAAGCCAAAACTGTAAAACGAATGTGCATGCAGTACTCAGGTTCTTGAAACAGACTCAAGTCCAGAGGTGGACGAACAACCAGAACTTTTCACATGAGTTTATAGCGAAAAAGAAGAAATGACATAGATGATGTAAGTGTTTAGTTACAGCATAAGACAATCCCAATCAGCACAAAGAGACATCTTTTTCAAAGCATATTTATTCCAACTCTGTGCTACCAGTGCCAGACATGGTCACTCACAACAAACCATAAAAGAAAATTAGTAACCACGGAAATGAGATGTCTGAGAAGGGCTGTAGGAGTGACCATAAGAGATAAGATCAGGAATGAGATCATAAGAGAACAAGTCGGCACAGAACCAATTCTAGATTACATACAAAAGCAGCAAGTGAAATGGTTTGCCCACTTAGAGAGAATGCCTTGTGACACCATACCATACAAAGCATACATGGAAAGAGAAGAAGGACGCAGAGCACGAGGTATACCAAGAACAAGATGGAAGAATAACATCAGAGAAACTCTACAACAGCACGATGTGCCTATGGTCGAGGCAGCCAGAAGAGCTAGAAACAGAACCTTTTATCTCCCTCGATACCCACAGCGGTAAAAGAGGAAGTGAAGAAGAAGAAGTGTTAAGTTGAATACAACACGGCCGCCCTGACAATAGCGACCAGTCAAACAGAAAAGAAAAAACTCAAGCAGTCGTAAAGCCACCGCGCATGCGCTAAAAACTCAGCTGCTTCCGACAATAAATGCGGAAATTAGATATATAATAATTAGGCAAAAGCGACACTCCTGCAGTCATTGTATACTCATCGCCGCCATGAGAGCACGACATGGATTATATTTAACACTGTTCTGATGTTGAAAACAGTTCCAGTAGGGAAATATGGATGTAGACAGCAGAAGTACAGATATGTGAACCGTTACACTGTGGACAAGGTTACGTCCCTTGTATGATAAACATGGCAGGTCTTTGGGAGATCTCTCACAGATCTTGTTGATCTCTGAAATTGAGAGCCATCCGCTGCTTTCCCCCTTCTAGTTTGGCGATATGTTCCCATTTTCCGCTGGAGATAATTCATCTCACCTCTTGCTGTCACATGAGAATTCATTGAAATGGAAAGGAATTTTTACAAATGCATTAAAAGGAGTGAGTGATCTTCTCTTCTTAAGTTTTGATTTCTGTGTCTGTCTCTAACTATTCAAGTTTTTGAATTTAATCTTATAATCGAGATATTTGCGATTGAGAAAAACTTCCGTTTAGTCTTAGTAATAATTGTATGTTAAACAAGTATAGTATTGATTCTGCTCACACTGTTTCGAGTCATGAAATTGATGGTGTCCCTAAGTTTAACAGTCCTTACTTACAAATGAAGGAGGCATAAGTGCCAATAAAAGATAAGTCAACAGTTTTTAATAGAGAAAACAAATTGTCACACTAAAAACAGCGCAGAAAGAAATTTGATCAAACTCATAGCAGCTGTCAATGACCATGAAACAGAACCATAAACACATATAATATACAGCACCATTAGTTTATAGTATATGAATATGTTTAACAAAACCCAAAAATTAATATAATCATCTATTGCAATCTTCTGGGAATATAATAATTAATATCGCTCAATATGATGATATCTAATATCTATAACAAGATCTTGTCATGTCTCATTTTTATCAAGAAGATTGTCTGAAATTATAAATATTATTATGTTATATTAATTGTTTTAGTACAGATTATCACTTACACACAAAAACACACACACAGTGATATTTGAAATATATTAGTTTATTACTTTATTACCAACGTGTCAGTGATACCCCACTCCAAGGTGTGGAGCCATACATGTATTTAGGCATTTATGTAAAGACAGAAGAACTATCAGATGTCAAATTAGGACTTCTGTGTGGAGCCATACATCTATTTAGGCATTTATGTAAAGACAGAAGAACTATCAGATGTCAAATTAGGACTGCTGTGTGGAGCCATACATCTATTTAGGCATTTATGTAAAGACAGAACTATCAGATCTCAAATTAGGACTGCTGTGTGGAGCCATACATGTATTTAGGCATTTATGTAAAGACAGAAGAACTATCAGATGTCAAATTAGGACTGCTGTGTGGAGCCATACATCTATTTAGGCATTTATGTAAAGACAGAAGAACTATCAGATGTCAAATTAGGACTGCTGTGTGGAGCCATACATGTATTTAGGCATTTATGTAAAGACAGAAGAACTATCAGATGTCAAATTAGGACTGCTGTGTGGAGCCATACATCTATTTAGGCATTTATGTAAAGACAGAACTATCAGATCTCAAATTAGGACTGCTGTGTGGAGCCATACATGTATTTAGGCATTTATGTAAAGACAGAACTATCAGATGTCAAATTAGGACTGCTGTGTGGAGCCATACATCTATTTAGGCATTTATGTAAAGACAGAAGAACTGTCAAATTAGGACTACTGTGTAGAGCCATACATCTATTCAGGCATTTATGTAAAGACAGAAGAACTGTCAAATTAGGACTGCTGTGTAGAGCCATACATCTATTTAGGCATTTATGTAAAGACAGAAGAACTGTCAAATTAGGACTGCTGTGTGGAGCTGAAACGTGGAATACCTAAATCAGTTACTAACAAACTTCTTCTTCTGACATTCATTAACTGGCAACTGCCCTGAATAGAGGGAATTCAATGGTATGATATAAATACTAATTTAGAGTTTTCAGAAAAAACTAAGCTTTCTGGTGAATCAAGAAATGAAGAAACAAAAAATGCTAACATTCAATAGGACACACATTGAGAAAACCTGAAAACAGTATAACTAGAATATCATAGCTAAGGAACCTACTGGGTCATATAAATAGCAGCAGACAAAAAGAAGGCGAAGTGAGCTAGAACGGGAAGTTAAAAAGACAGGAGAGAGACATGGGATGAGCTGCATGCAGTAGCCATCGATAGGCTTGAATTGGTTAAGGGCCTGTGCTCCACTGGGGGGATACAAGGCAGAAGAAGAATGGGCTGAAGAGTCATGCCATTACGTTAACTCATCTCGTGCAGCAACCATGGTTACCATGTGTTTCTTGGTTCAGACCAACACAGCCTACTTTTCTGAAGCCCTTGTGATTCACCCAGTTTGACACGAATTCTGCAGTATGGTGTTATATGAACTGCATAGACCAAAACTTGTGTTACTTACAGTAAGTTATTCTTAGAGTGAAAAATGAGGAAAAAGTAACTTCTGGTTAGTACTATAAGTGTGAAAAATTTATTTTCCGACTGGATACATAAATATGCATGACTACATCAATCTTTGGTACATTTAAAGAGTTTTAAAGATTTGTGGGCAGCCATTAATTGTAGAGCTGTCGTAAAGTCCTATTCAAGAATGGCAATCCCTGCCACATAGTCCATATGAAAACATAGATACTCTGTTACACAGAGACTGGTTTTTTTCTTAGATGCCTCTTATCTATAGCTTGCTGCGTTAGACCTCTTGCAAAGTGTGACAATCTGTCTTTCACTGTCTGCAACCATAGGAGTCAGACTGCAGCCGAAAATGACTGACAGATTGTTAACTTACAGACAGAAAATTGAGTGTTCTGTTACAGGATGTATAATCAGTTAATGTGTACTCAGAAGAGCAGGAATGCCAGCAGTGTACAAGCAGAGATGCATTCACTGGTTGGAACATGTGTACAAGCAGAGATGCATGCACTGGTTGGGACATGTGTACAAGCAGAGATGCATGCACTGGTTGGGACATGTGTACAAGCAGAGATGTATGCACTGGTTGGGACATGTGTACAAGCAGAGATGAATGCACTGACTGTCCACAGTTATGTATCTTTAGAAGGCAGACTTGAACAAACACAGTTCCTGACTGTACACAGTCATGTATCTTTAAAAGACAGACTAGAACAAACACTTGTGTTCCTGACTGTACACAGTCATGTATCTTTAGAAGACAGACTAGAACAAACACTTGTGTTCCTGACTGTACACAATCATGTATCTTTAGAAGACAGACTTGAACAAACACAGTTCCTGACTGTACACAGTCATGTATCTTTAGAAGACAGACTAGAACAAACACTTGTGTTCCTGACTGTACACAATTATGTATCTTTAAAAGACAGACTAGAACAAACACTTGTGTTCCTGACTGTACACAATTATGTATCTTTAAAAGACAGACTTGAACAAACACAGTTCCTGACTGTACACAATTATGTATCTATAGAAGACAGACTAGAACAAACACAGTTCCTGACTGTACACAATTATGTATCTTTAGAAGACAGACTTGAACAAACACTTGTGTTCCTGACTGTACACAATCATGTATCTTTAGAAGACAGACTAGAACAAACACAGTTCCTGACTGTACACAATTATGTATCTTTAGAAGACAGACTAGAACAACCTGACTGTACACAATTATTTATCTATAGAAGACAGACTTGAACAAACACTTGTATTCCTGACTTTACACAATCATGTATCTTTAGAAGACAGACTTGAACAAACACTTGTGTTCCTGACTGTACACAATCATGTATCTTTAGAAGACAGACTTGAACAAACACTTGTGTTCCTGACTTTACACAATTATGTAACTTTAGAAGACAGACTTGATCAAAGTTAGATATTTGAAAGAAATGACAATCATATTTAAAAAAAATATACTAGAACTGAAAATGGAAGTGACACTCTCAGAACAACAGCACTAGAAAGAACAGTGAGACCTGCATTAAGCCATGAATGCCATATTGTGGTTGGATGAACTGATAGTACTCTGTAAGGAAACACATCTAGCAGTGAGGAAATTACTTTGTACAAGCGAGTCACATGCCAATAATTGCTTTGAGGCTACATGCATGTTTCCAAAGTGTAATATTATTTCTTCTTCTCCTCCTTTGTCATCTTCATCATCCTTCTTCTCATCCTCATCCTTCTTCATTGTCTGCATCATCATTTTCTTCTTTTTCTTCTTCTTCTGCTTCTCCTCCTCTTCCTTATTTTTTGTCTTCATCATTATCTTCATCTTCTTCTTTTGCTGCTACTGCTCTGTCTCCTCCTCCTTCTAGTTCACCTTTAACAGGGAAATTGGATAATCTGTTTTGGTTTAAAGCTAGGCTACAGTATCTGTACCTGTCTGCTTAACACATGCAGTTCCAACAAACACTTAATTAGTCACTTTCTACAGCGTGCTTGTTAGGGAGCAGTGAGTCTCTCTCTCCCCTCCCTCCCGCAACCCGCAAAGAATGTGTTAGATGTAACAAATCTTTCAGTTAAGTAATTTATGGGTCATATCTGGCAGATTTGACACAGAATTAGCCATGAAGAAATACTGCATTAACTGATAGCAGATAGTCTGGCTCTACTGGCAAATCCGGACGAAGAATAAACAGACTTGGACGACTTAGTCAGAGTTATCTCCCGTCGCCGCACTCCGAACAGTAATCGGAAAACAAACGAAACAAACGACACACTTACCTATCATCCTGCGGTTGCGTGTAGGGCTGCGTACGGTTGCGTGAGACATCGTGGCATAATCATATTGTTGCGTGTACGGTTGCGTGAGGCACTGTGAATGGTTGTGTTGTCATCATCATGCGGTTGTTGGATTATAGTTAGGGGTAGGGTTAGGGTTAGGGGTAGTGTTAGGGTTAGGGTTAGATGTGAAAATTTTGACGTAGAATTTCGAAATACTGGCCGACAATATGATGTTTGTGGGAGTGGCGCCACTGAAACTCTGCCAAATATGACGCCAATAGCGTGCGTAGTCGATGCCCACAATCGTTGGCGAATTGTGCGTGTGACCAGCATCCAGAGGCCCTCGATTGTTTGTGTGTGTGTATGGGACTGTGCGCGATTATAGGGAACTCCGGCGTCAAAACTGTCAAATCTAACGCTAATCCTAACCCTACAGCTAACCCTAATCCTAATCCTACTCCCTAACCCTAACCCCTAACCACGCAAATTTATCGATCATTAAAGCATACAAATCGGCAAACACGAACAAACAAAACACACCCACACAAAAAAACACACCCAGAATTGTCCTGCAGCGTCGAAAAAAAACCCAGATCTGGGGGAAACAACCAAGCATTGGCAGCCCTGATGTCGACGTGACTGTCTTCTTTGTTTCGTTGTGGCTTTTCCGATCACTGTTTGGAGTGCGGCGACGGGAGATAACTCTGACTAAGTCGTCCAAGGCTGTTTATTCTTCGTCCGGATTTGCCAGTAGAGCCGATAGTCTGGTCATTTAAGAATTAACATTTGTCTCAGTCAGGGGCCATCTCCACAGTCAGGGTTGGCTGCAGTGGATCTCCAGCATGTACACTCTCTTAGGCTGCTGTTCATCCATTTTCTGATGTTGTCCTGTCAACTGTATCACTGTCTGCCTCTTGCTCTCTTGCCTTTAACCTTCCAGTATTGTTTTTCACCCTGGATGTACACTCTCTTAGGCTGCTGTTCATCCATTTTCTGATGTTACCCTGTCAACTGTATCACTGTCTGCCTCTTGCTCTCTTGCCTTTAACCTTCCAGTATTGTTTTTCACCCTGGATGTACACTCTCTTAGGCTGCTGTTCATCCATTTTCTGATGTTACCCTGTCAACTGTATCACTGTCTGCCTCTTGCTCTCTTGCCTTTAACCTTCCAGTATTGTTTTCACCCTGGATGTACACTCTCTTAGGCTGCTGTTCATCCATTTTCTGATGTTACCCTGTCAACTGTATCACTGTCTGCCTCTTGCTCTCTTGCCTTTAACCTTCCAGTATTGTTTTTCACCCTGGATGTACACTCTCTTAGGCTGCTGTTCATCCATTTTCTGATGTTACCCTGTCAACTGTATCACTGTCTGCCTCTTGCTCTCTTGCCTTTAACCTTCCAGTATTGTTTTTCACCCTGGATGTACACTCTCTTAGGCTGCTGTTCATCCATTTTCTGATGTTACCCTGTCAACTGTATCACTGTCTGCCTCTTGCTCTCTTGCCTTTAACCTTCCAGTATTGTTTTTCACCCTGGATGTACACTCTCTTAGGCTGCTGTTCATCCATTTTCTGATGTTACCCTGTCAACTGTATCACTGTCTGCCTCTTGCTCTCTTGCCTTTAACCTTCCAGTATTGTTTTTCACCCTGGATGTACACTCTCTTAGGCTGCTGTTCATCCATTTTCTGATGTTACCCTGTCAACTGTATCACTGTCTGCCTCTAGCTCTCTTGCCTTTAACCTTCCAGTATTGTTTTGATAAGAGTTATGTCTTTTAATTTGGCCATATTCTTTCACTTGTCTCTTTTTTCTTTCCATTCCTAGTCTCTTTAGAACCTCTGTACTTGATTGTTTTGTTCCTTGAAATATCACCTATTCTTTGTTATATAAATATATATATATATATATATATATATATATATATATATATATATATATATATATATATATATATATATATATATATATATATATATATATATATATATATATATATATATATATATATATATATATAAATATATATATATATAAATATTCGTGCATGCGTCAGTAGAAATCAGAAGAGCACTCTGTCTTCTTGCCCATCCTGTGCTACCAGGGCAGTGACAGAAAAAGAGAAAAGAAAAATTACAAAAACTGAAATGAGATTCTTACAAAAGGCTGTCTGTATAACAGGAAGAGATCAGATCAGAAAGGATGAAATCCGGCGGAGAACGGGGATAGCAATAGCTATGTATCTCATTAAAAGATAACAGGTGAAATGATTTGGCCATATGATACGGATGTCAGCAAGCAGGGATGTACAGGCCAGAAGGAAAACGAAAAAGAGGCCGGCCATACAAATGATGGACAGAGGAAATAACAGAGTCCTTGGGAATCCTTATTTATGGCGGGCACTTTATGTTAAACTTCACCTTGACACCGCAAGGTACAAGAGGATCAAGAGATATTTATATATATATATAAATATTTATATATTTACATATACATATACATGCATTTAGCTTATATTCACTGCACATGTGATCATAGATTTTAATAATTTTCTCAAAATGTCATGTGAAGTTAGCAGTTGCAAGTATGCATAAGCTGTCTGTACTCTTTCCCAGGTCCAGAAGCAGGTACACAATGGCCTTACTTCAAGAGAAGATGCCTTGGACTACATAGAAACTTTAATGGTTCGGCTGCTGATCACACTGTGTTCAGCCCAGCCACACACCAAAGAAGATGTTGACGAGAGGATCAGCAAAACGTTCCCCGACCCCATTGACAAGTGGGCTATCCGGGATGCTCAGAATGCAGTCAGAGACTATAAAAAAAACTGTAACATCTTGCTGCCAGTGGACAAAATATTGCCTCTACTTAAGGTATGTTCTTCTTCTTATCATTTCTCATTGACCTTATCTGTCTGCAAATGAATACAAGCCAGGAATTTCTTTGATATATGCATAAGACAATGTATATGCAAAGTATATAGCTTCACCTAACTGAGCAAAGTATATGACTTCATCTAACTGAGCAAAGTATATGACTTCATCTAACTGAGCAAAGTATATGGCTTCACCCAACTGAGCAAAGTATATGGCTTCATCAAACTGAGCAAAGTATATGGCTTCATCCAACTGACCAAAGTAAATAGTGTCATTGGGACAATGGGTGATATCTGCACACTAGTGCACAAATAATAGAGACAACTTTAAAATAAAAAGCCAGCTTTAAAAACACTCTTCTGGGTAATATTGTTTGGCACCTAAAACAATGTTCTGTTTTATACTCATTGTTAGAGGTTAAGTTGTGTTGTGGTTAGCACCCTTGTCTGTTGGCCATATAGTGATTACTTTAAAAATACAAAGATCCAAATTTGTAAACAAAACTTCAGGCTTCCAGTTCAGCTCAGCCTAAAATGGCTAAGAGGAAATGTCCGGGAAGTAAAGGTGCCAGTGATGTTGAAATTCTGATTAGTCTTTAAAGATAAGAGGTTAGCACCATATGTCAGTTGGCTCTCCCAGGTTGATGCAGCCTGAAATGGGTACCAGGTAATGTCTTGGGATGTGAAGGCGGCCAGCGTGTTCTTTGATAATTTCATATACAGGATGCTAGTTGGTGGCTAGCATAATATACCTGATCTGGCACTGGCGTAAAACTGGTCCTTTGGTTTTCTTTACTTACCGACATGAGTACCACAGAAAGACAGGCAGATTTGCTAGCCACAGAGAAGTGTTAGATAAAATAACACAGAAACAAAGATCTTAATTATAACCAACACTCAGCAGTGGTGTTGCAGCTAGATGCTCGCCTGCAGATCTGAAGGTTGTTGGTTCAAATCTTAACGGAATCAGTTATTTCATAACTGACCCTAGCTCCCAGGTTGAACCAGCCTAAAATGGGTACGAGGTAATCAAGTGTTGGACAGTCAAGGCGGCTGGGACAATGCTGACCACATCAGCAACTGATTGCTGATTGGTCTAGCCCTGTATGCCCAGTACTCTGGACAAGACTGGAAAGGTTTCTTTACTTTACTTACTCAGCTAGGAGCAGGTTGAACAAGGTAGAAATTATGTCTGTTTTGTTTTTGAAAATCAGATCAAATTTAATTTACTTGCTTAACCTATGTGACCTGTGTCTCATGACATGGAAACAGCCTTGACTTACTTACTGGACTTATTTGTACTCATTTGTGCTGTTTTTGTGAACATAGGAAGAACTGGGCTACAGGGTCGACTACTCCCTGGCAGTGTACATTGTGGCAGTGTTGGAGTATATTGCCGCTGACATCCTCAAAGTGAGTACATTGCTTGAGACATCAAGTAACAGACATTTCATGTGTCATTAATAACAAACATTTCTTGTATCACAACCAGTGATTTATGCTGCTTTAGTTTTAGTGTAACACATCTTGCCTCTTCTTCTTTTCTCTAGACTAGAGCTATTCCGCTTACTCAGGGCCCAAGGTGTTGAAACATGGACATCATCATGGGCTATAGGCAGAGTCCCACAATAGAAAGATCATATATACAGAGCAGTTGGCAGGTGATCCACGGGTCCCTTACCAGGCCTCTGCTGGTTAGATTTGTTCCCCCTGCCGCCAGTTGAATAGTCTTGCTCTATACACCTGTTGTGCCTTTTAGTGTCAGGTTTTGAAGAGACGTCAGCAGAATGCACAAACTTTCTAACACTGGCGAGGATTCAGATTAACTTGCCTGCAGTAGTGAAAATATAAAAGCATTGTGTCAGTAATTTCAGTTTTCCAAAGTGCTTGCATTTCAAATAAAATCATCAGCTGTGTGTTTTCACTAAAACCTGATTTCCTACATAGTACCAGTGGCTTCATGGAAAGTGGCACTTTAGGGAGGGTACTAGCCTAATCCTTGGGAAGAGAAAATGCAACCTGAAACTTAGTGTTATGGCAAGACAGACTAGATCCTTCACTTGGTTTGCAGTTGGTCTGAGAGGGAAGCTCTGACAGGCAGGCAGACACAACACTGCTCTTGTGATCTAGCAGGGTTGACTGGAAACATATTGTTGGTACCTTTCCTTTGGAAGCAGGCTGGGGAGGTATTATGCTGCATGGTAACACGAGGCCTTGACAAACTGCCACGGCTTTGTGCTGGGGAGAGAAGAAATGAAAGTTCACTTGACATCACCGTGGGCTGTGATTCTCAGTCCTGCCTGCAGCACGGTATAACATAACATTGTCATCTGGACAGATGGACAGGTGCCAACATGTTCAGGAGCAATAATGCCTCACAGTTTTCTCCAGAATTGAGCTCTGAAGGTAATGTTATTATGCACAGTCTGAGTGTTGAACTAGATGGCCTTAATCTTCTGATTTTATTCTGTTGAGCAGATTTCTGGGATTTATGTGAAGAATATCAGACATCAAGAAATCACCTCCCAAGATATTAAAGTTGCAATATGTGCAGATCAGGTTAGTGAGCCTTTGTTTTTGTCATCATAGACTCACTGTCTGTTAATAGGCATTCTGTAAAAGTCGACTGATTAGGACTTGCTATTTAGCCTTTCCGCTGGCAGAAATGACCTTGGCTCACAGGTTGATCCAGCCCTAAATGGTAGAGTCCTGGGAAGTTAAGGGGGCCGGCATGATGTTGACCACATCACGACTGAGTGCTGATTGGTCTATAAAATATAGGTCTAGCCTTGTATGCCCAATAACCCTGAAGGCGTGGGAAGAAGGTCCTGTAGTGTTTAAAAAAAAAAAAAATTTACTATTGTCAGAGCTGGCAATTTGAAACTTTAGTTCCCCAGTTAACCCAGCTTAAAACGGGTGCTTAGAAATACTCTTGGAGTTAAAAGGGGGCTGCATTTCTATAAAAATAAAGAGAAACACTTTATAAACCCAACACACTTGAGAGAGTGCAAAATCTAATTATTGACTGTTTGTCTCGCTTTATAATACCCTTTCTGGAGGAGGTAAATTCACAAGACAGAACAGGACACTCCTCATTCTGTTTGTCGTGTGATGAAATAGAAAACCTGGAGAACAAAGACTTTTGGGAAAAGAAAAGCATATACTGTTTTCACAAGTAGGGGGGCGTGGTTGTAACATATCCACTGCTGGCTATGGGAGTATCATGTGATGAGACTCCAGTGTCTTACATGGCCCACTCTCATACCACTCCACCACTCTGAAAGCCACAAGAGTTTTCCCCTTTAAAATAAATATTTAAACCACCCACCACAGGAATTGGACTCTGGTAAATGTTGAGGGGGTTAAATAGAGGGAAATAAATGATATGATAGAATTGCTACTGTAGAGCTTTGGAAGAGACCTAAATAGGAAAAGACGCTCACGTTGGATAGGACACACGTTGAGAAAACTTGAGAACAATATAACTAGAATATCTTTGCACTGGGACCCACAGGGGCATATAAATAAAGGCAGACCAAAAATATATGGAGAAGGGAGCTATATAGTGAAGTTAAAAGATGAGAAAACATGCGATAGCGAATGATAGAACGACCTCTGCATGGGAGATAGAGGGTGTTGGTCACACATCTGACCTTGTGAACTTTCAGGTCTTGTACGACATGTTCTTCCAAGAGGAGGACCTGTCTGTCATGGTGGAGGACGAGCCAGTCAGGAGAGAGAAGATGACCTACGAAGAGATCGTCAAAGATCTTATCATGGAGGAAGTCCAGTACCTCCGAGATCTCAACATGATTATTCGTGTGTTCAGGGCACCTTTTGCAAAACTATTTCCCCGGTCAAAGGTAACATTCTGTTGTCATTGTGTGGTTTGTGTTAACTGTTGTTGTAGCTAGGCTTTAGTCAGTAGGTAACAGACCTTTTGCAATGCAAGTTAGCTACATGAAGCCTAATCCTGATTAAGAACTTGGAGATATGAATTTACAGATGAATAAGTTTTTTCTTGGAAACATAAACACATAGATATAAAGTTTCCAGAGAGACTGATATGTCATAAGATTTAGATACTTCTCTCACTGTACCAAGGATTTTTACCGCTTCTCTCCCTACCAAGGATTTGGACCACTTTATCAGTTTACCAAGGATTTAGACCAATTCTCCCTCTTTACCAAGAAATTTGGACCACTTCTCACTTTGCCAAAGATTTTGTACTACTTCTCTCTCTTTACCAAGGATATGAACCACTTCTCTCACTTTACCCAGGATTTGAACCACTTCTGTCTCTTTACCAAGGATTTTAACTACTTCTTTAACTTTACCAAGGACTTTGACCACTTCTGTAGGTTTACCAAAGACTTTGACCAGTTCTTTCTCTTTACCAAGCATTTGAATCACTTCGATAACTTTACCAAGGATGTGAACCACTTTGATAACTTTGATTGGAACCTGTGGTCACAGCACTGGATGTAGACATGTTACATTGATCCTCAGATGATCACAGCACTGGATGTAGACATGTTACATTGATCCTCAGATGATCACAGCACTGGATGTAGACATGTTACATTGATCCTCAGATGGTCACAGCACTGGATGTAGACATGTTACATTGATCCTCAGATGGTCACAGCACTGGATGTAGACATGTTACATTGATCCTCAGATGGTCTCACAACACTGGATGTAGACATGTTACATTGATCCTCAGATGATCACAGCACACTGATGTAGACATGCTACATTGATCCTCAGATGGTCAACAGCACTGGATGTAGACATGTTACATTGATCCTCAGATGATCACAGCACTGGATGTAGACATGTTACATTGATCACTCAGATGGTCACAACACATGGATGTAGAACATGTTACATTGATCCTCAGGATGGTCACAACACTGGATGTAGACATGTTACATTGATCCTCAGATGGTCACAACACTGGATGTAGACATGTTACATTGATATTCAGATGATCACAGCACTGGATGTAGACATGTTACATTGATCCTCAGGTGGTCACAACACTGGATGTAGACATGTTACATTGATCCTCAGATGATCACAACACTGGATGTAGACATGTTACATCGATCCTCAGATGGTCACAACACTGGATGTAGACATGTTACATTGATCCTCAGATGGTCACAGCACTGGATGTAGACATGTTACATTGATCCTCAGATGGTCACAACACTGGATGTAGACATGTTACATTGATCCTCAGATGGTCACAGCACTGGATGTAGACATGTTACATTGATCCTCAGATGGTCACAGCACTGGATGTAGACATGTTACATTGATCCTCAGATGGTCACAGCACTGGATGTAGACATGTTACATTGATCCTCAGATGGTCACAACACTGGATGTAGACATGTTACATTGATCCTCAGATGATCACAGCACTGGATGTAGACATGTTACATTGATCCTCAGATGGTCACAGCACTGGATGTAGACATGTTACATTGATATTCAGATGATCACAACACTGGATGTAGACATGTTACATTGATTCTCAGATGATCACAACACTGGATGTAGACATGTTACATTGATCCTCAGATGGTCACAACACTGGATGTAGACATGTTACATTGATCCTCAGATGATCACAGCACTGGATGTAGACATGTTACATTGATCCTCAGATGATCACAGCACTGGATGTAGACATGTTACATTGATCCTCAGATGGTCACAACACTGGATGTAGACATGTTACATTGATCCTCAGATGGTCACAACACTGGATGTAGACATGTTACATTGATCCTCAGATGGTCACAACACTGGATGTAGACATGTTACATTGATCCTCAGATGGTCACAGCACTGGATGTAGACATGTTACATTGATTCTCAGATGATCACAACACTGGATGTAGACATGTTACATTGATCCTCAGATGGTCACAGCACTGGATGTAGACATGTTACATTGATCCTCAGATGGTCACAGCACTGGATGTAGACATGTTACATTGATCCTCAGATGGTCACAACACTGGATGTAGACATGTTACATTGATTCTCAGATGCTCACAACACTGGATGTAGACATGTTACATTGATCCTCAGATGATCACAACACTGGATGTAGACATGTTACATTGATTCTCAGATGCTCACAGCACTGGATGTAGACATGTTACATTGATCCTCAGATGATCACAGCACTGGATGTAGACATGTTACATTGATCCTCAGATGATCACAGCACTGGATGTAGACATGTTACATTGATCCTCAGATGATCACAGCACTGGATGTAGACATGTTACATTGATCCTCAGATGATCACAACACTGGATGTAGACATGTTACATTGATCCTCAGATGATCACAGCACTGGATGTAGACATGTTACATTGATCCTCAGATGGTCACAGCACTGGATGTAGACATGTTACATTGATCCTCAGATGGTCACAACACTGGATGTAGACATGTTACATTGATTCTCAGATGATCACAACACTGGATGTAGACATGTTACATTGATCCTCAGATGATCACCCCGCTGGACCACACATCTATTCATGCCTACAACTTTAGATTTATATTGTTTCATCTGTTCTATGCATGTGGCCATTTTTAGATCATTTTCAGAATATCTCCTTTGTCCATTCTGAGTGTCTCAGCAGAAGCTGGACAGCATATCCATGAAAGTTCTTAGAAGTATGCAGCTAGCAGATCCGTTCATTCTTTCCTTCACACTATATCATGAGCTCAACAGTGTATCCATCTTAGTCCTTAGAATTATGCAGCTAGCAGATCCGTTCATTCTTCCTTCACACTCCATCTTGAGCTGGACAGTTTATTCATGTAAGTTCTTACAAGAGAGCAACGTAAATGCTTAGTTTCCATCTTCTGTGCAGAAATCATTCTGATCCATTCCTCCCTATGATGTCAGATATGTTCATTAACTGCTTGTATTCTGCAGGACCTGGATGTGATCTTCAGCAATATCTTGGATATCTATGATTTCACGGCCAAGCTACTCAGCTCAGTCGAGGACCAGGTGGAGATGGCCCAGGATGGAGATGTGCCTCTTGTGGGTGCCTGCTTCACTGACCTCACTGAGGTATTTTTCACAGGCTGGTCTTAATGGCTTGCATTGCTAGGTTTCTTCTTGTAGCTGTGGTTCTCCTGTGATGTCATTTCTTTCCAGTCTTTTGTCTTAATGTCCTGTATCATTTCTTTTTTTTTCATTTTGTCTTCTTGTCTTGCTATTTTTATCTTTTCCTTCTTTTCTTCGTATGCTCTTAATACATTCTTTTCATTTTGTTACTTTGTTGAGGCTTTCAATTTTTGTATTCTTTATCTTTTTAATTTCCATCATTTCTGATATGTCTCCTAATTATATTTCACTCATCTTGCAGTTATTTCCCCAATCCTGCTGTTATGTTTTCCACTCTACTCCATTATTTTCATTTTACATGAGCAAATTTTTCAGTTAAAGAAACATTTCTTAATTAGATTGTAACACTGTTAAATGTGTCGTTGGGGGAACTATGGTTGGCAATTATGAGCCTGGCATTACATGCCCTGTGTGCCATTAGCGTGAAAATTGTCCTTTTGTATTACTTTTAATATGCCCAGCAAGTTAATATAATATTAAAAAATAAAGGTGGCCTGAATAAGCTGACATGACAAGACTAATGTACACACAATATCCTGACAAGACTAATGTACACACAATATCCTGACAAGACTAATGTACACACAATATCCTGACAAGACTAATGTACACACAATATCATTCATTGTTTACTGTGGGCTTAATTTGCCCTCTGCAAATGAACTCTGAATGTCCATCAACAGGGTGAGGAGTTTAGTGTCTATGAGCGTTATGTTGCTGACATGATGACCCCAAACGGAAAAGGCAGGTTGAATGCTCTACTCACTAGAGAGGACGTCATCCTGTTGTTGAAGGTAAATACATTGCCTCATTATTTCTGTCTCTCTCTCCCTCTCTCCATATATATATATATATATATATATATATATATATATATATATATATATATATATATATATATATATATATATATATATATATATATATATATATATATATATATATATATATAATATATAGTAGGTAAGAATGTATGAACAACTCTGTTCTGTATGCACCTCGCCTGCCTCTATTATGTCTTTTCATTATCACTGTTTGCCTGTGTTTTTTATCTAGTCATATGGGCAGAAATGTTGACTCCTTCAGGTGTCTGACATGTCTCCTTTGTTGTTATTTCTCCTATGTTTATTGAGCCTTTATTGCTGTTAAAAAATATTTGTTGGTTTTGTTTTTGTATTCTAGCAATCAGGAAATGGATTCCGTGAGGCTTTTAAATATGTCTTGCCAAAGTTATTGATGGGCCCTGTCTACCATTGCTTGCAGTATTTTGAAATAATCAAGGTACGTTCATGAGTAACATTTGCTATGATGCTACATTTGTGAAGTTATTACTCCTGTGTGGTTTCAGGAGGTGTATTTATTTCTAGACTGTTATCCTGTACAGAAGATGAGCTGTTTATGTTGTGTGAGACAGTCAGTTTTATGTTCACTGGTTTGCCAGCCATTAATTTATCAAAGTCTTGGTTGGGACACGGTAAGAAGTAAAATTGATGATGTTGGAAACCTGTATGTTTAAAGAATGATGTTGCGGGGAGTGTCTACAGGCTCTGGGCGCCACTCAGAACTCGGGGAAAGGAAAAGGGGACAAGTGAAATGAAAGATATTGGAAACCTATAAGTATAGAGAATGATGCAGCGGGGGAGTGTCTACAGGCTCTGGGTGCCACTCAAAATCTGAGAAGAACAAGGTGACAAGTGAAATGAAAGATATTGGAAACCTATTAGTATAGAGAATGATGCAGCGGGGAGTGTCTACAGGCTCAGGGTGCCACTCAGAACTCGGGGAAAAGATAAGGTAACAAGTGAAATGAAATATATTGGAAACCTGTATATATAGAGAATGATGCAGCGGGGGAGTGTCTACAGGCTCAGGGTGCCACTCAGAACTCGGGGTAAGGACAAGGTGACAAGTGAAATGAAAGATATTGGAAACCCGTATGTATAGAGAATGATGCAGCGGGGGAGTGTCTACAGGCTCAGGGTGCCACTCAGAACTCGGGGTAAGGACAAGGTGACAAGTGAAATGAAAGATATTGGAAACCCGTATGTATAGAGAATGATGCAGCGGGGAGTGTCTACAGGCTCAGGGTGCCACTCAGAACTCGGGGTAAGGACAAGGTGACAAGTGAAATGAAATATATTGGAAACCTGTATATATAGAGAATGATGCAGCGGGGGAGTGTCTACAGGCTCAGGGTGCCACTCAGAGAAAGGACAAGGTGAGTAGTTAACCAGATGACAGCAGGTACCATCAGTATGGAGGCTCTTCGCTGGCTGTTGAGCGGGAGATTGGGATGATATGGGCTTATCCTGAAAGCTCTGATGTCGAATCTTTAACCAGATGAACTTATAACTTTGTCTGGTAATGTTGAATTAAGAATCGACATCACAGCACTCAAGACACCCCCCATAAGCGCTTCGTCCCCATCTTCAGCAGCAGGCGAAGAGTTAAAATTCGGATGATATCAGTAACTGTCTGGTTGTATATCCGTCTCATCTTTACCCTGAGTGTCAAGCCTCAACCAGATCCTCTTTAACTCCTCGAAGTGACATTCTCCCCAGACCGTAATGCTCTATCCATGCCTTGGCACTCTTCACTCGCTCCCAAAGGGCCCTCACAACATCCAGCTTGTTATACATCAGTTCACCACCTAGTGGTGCAGAACCGGACAGTCTGCATGCTCTTTCCCCAACACACCATCATTACCTGGAGAAAATATCCAAAGGATGTTAACTACCTGGGACCTCTGAGCTTGCCACTCTGCATGGAGCATGCCTGTCTCCGCCTTTTTTCAACATGCTTTGTGAGTCAGTTACAATGACGGCATGTGTGTACAGCTGATTCTCAATTATATGGAGAATTATAAAACTGTTGAGAACCCCTTAGCCAGGGACACTGCTGTATTGTCTGCAGGATAGATAAATGCAGTAAAGATGAAATGCTGAGGTGTGGAATCCACTTTGACGGTCCAGGCTTACCTGATAGATCAGCTTCTTCATGTGCTGTTCATCCTCTATTGGAGCATGGGCACTCAGCCAACTCAGGACAAACCATATTTCTTCTACTCTCTCCTGCAGTTCCCTACATGACCTTTTCTGTCTTCAGCTCATTTTTCCAAGTGTCTTTAGATATCTCTATCTCTAATTCACTTTTCTAAGTGTCTTTAGATGTCTCTAATTCACTTTTCTATGTCCTGAAATGTCACTTTGTGTCTCTAGTTCACTTTTTTTATGGTCTTAGATTTCACTTTGTATCTCTAGTTCACTTTTCTATTGTCTTTATGCATCTCTCTGGTTCTAGTTCACTTTTTATGTGTCTTTATGTCTCTCACTGTCTTTAGTTCACTTTTTATGTGACTGTCTCTCTGTCTTTAGTTCACTTTTTTTATGCGTCTTAATGTCTCAGTCTCTAGTTCATTTTTTTAATGTCTTTATGTCTTTTTGTCTCAAGTTCACTTTTCTATGTGTCTTTGTCTCTCTCTGTCTTTAGTTCACTTCTCTATGTGTCTTGAATATCTCTGTCTCTGGTTTACTTTTCTATTTGCTTGAATGTTTCTCTCTCTGTCTGTCTCTAGTTAACTATTCTGTGTGTCTTTATGGCACTCTCTGTCTCTAGTTTATGATTCTCTCTGTCTAGTTCACTTTTCTGTGTGTCTTTATGTCTCTCTCTGTAGTTCACTTTTTATGTCTTTATGTCTCTGAGTGTCTGTAGTTCACTTTTTTATGTGGCTTTATGTCTCTCTCTCTCTCTCTCTCTCTCTCTCTCTCTCTCTCTCTCTCTCTCTCTCTCCCCCCTCTCTCTCTCTCTCTAGTTCATTTTTTGTGTCTTTATGTCTCTCTCACTCAGTCTCTAGTTCACTTTTCTATTTGTCTTTGTGTCTCTCTCTGTCTGTAGTTCACTTTTTATGTGTCTTTATGTCTCTCTCACTCAGTCTCTAGTTCACTTTTCTATTTGTCTTTGTGTCTCTCTCTATCTATAGTTCACTTTTTTATGTGTCTTTATTTCTCTCTCTATCTATAGTTCACTTTTTTATGTGTCTTTATTTCTCTCTCTATCTATAGTTCACTTTTTTATGTGTCTTTATTTCTCTCTCTATCTATAGTTCACTTTTTTATGTGTCTTTATGTCTCTCTCTGTCTCTAGTTCACTTTTCTATTTGTCTTTGTGTCTCTCTCTGTCTGTAGTTCACTTTTTATGTGTCTTTATGTCTCTCTCTGTCTCTAGTTCACTTTTCTATTTGTCTTTGTGTCTCTCTCTATCTCTAGTTCACTTTTCTATTTGTCTTTGTGTCTCTCTCTGTCTCTAGTTCACTTTTCTATTTGTCTTTATGTCTCTCTCTGTCTCTAGTTCACTTTTCTATTTGTCTTTGTGTCTCTCTCTCAGTCTCTAGTTCACTTTTCTATTTGTCTTTGTGTCTCTCTCTATCTATAGTTCACTTTTTTATGTGTCTTTATGTCTCTCTCTGTCTGTAGTTCACTTTTTATGTGTCTTTATGTCTCTCTCTGTCTGTAGTTCACTTTTTTATGTGTCTTTATGTCTCTCACTCAGTCTCTAGTTCACTTTTCTATTTGTCTTTGTGTCTCTCTCTATCTATAGTTCACTTTTTTATGTGTCTTTATGTCTCTCACTCAGTCTCTAGTTCACTTTTTTATTTGTCTTTGTGTCTCTCTCTATCTATAGTTCACTTTTCTATTTGTCTTTGTGTCTTTCTCTATCTATAGTTCACTTTTCTATTTGTCTTTGTGTCTCTCTCAGTCTCTAGTTCACTTTTCTATTTGTCTTTGTGTCTCTCTCTATCTATAGTTCACTTTTCTATTTGTCTTTGTGTCTCTCTCAGTCTCTAGTTCACTTTTCTATTTGTCTTTGTGTCTCTCTCAGTCTCTAGTTCACTTTTCTATTTGTCTTTGTGTCTCTCTCAGTCTCTAGTTCACTTTTCTATTTGTCTTTGTGTCTCTCTCAGTCTCTAGTTCACTTTTCTATTTGTCTTTGTGTCTCTCTCTATCTATAGTTCACTTTTCTATTTGTCTTTGTGTCTCTCTCAGTCTCTAGTTCACTTTTCTATTTGTCTTTGTGTCTTTCTCTATCTATAGTTCACTTTTCTATTTGTCTTTGTGTCTTTCTCTATCTATAGTTCACTTTTTTATGTGTCTTTATTTCTTTCTCTATCTATAGTTCACTTTTTTATGTGTCTTTATGTCTCTCTCTCAGTCTCTAGTTCACTTTTTTATTAATCTTTTTGTCTCTCTCTCTCTCTCTCACTCTCTCAGTCTCTAGTTCACTTTTAAATGTGTCTTTAATGTCAGCCACAGAAACATATTTAACAAAAAAACCAGTTATACTGCTTGTGCCAAGCCTTTTTTAGGGCTGTGTCGCTCTTGAACCTTAGCATTTGAGGCCACATAGTTGGTGCTCGCCATGTTTGTTTATTAAAAAAAATTTACTGAATTTTAGTAGGTATTAACAATGTTAATTAGCTTGCCTGGTTGGATGTTAACAGCCAAACTGTTGTTGTTGTTGCCAGGCTTTGATAAGCACAAGTCCCAATGATGAAGACAGAGAATGTTTAACTCAGGCTGATGGTCTGCTACAGGCTCTGAAGGTTCGCCTGGAAAGACAGCTGGGAAATGTTCCAAAAAGAAAAAATTGGTAAAGCATTACAGTTTTTTTTGTTTTGTGTGTGTTTGCAAGCAACAGATTTGATATTGGACATTGACAGCAGGCCTGGCTACCTGTTTTCTGACACTTACACTATGCTGCTACTAAGCAACTATTTGTTATTTATTATCGGTTGGTTGTGAATCTTCTGGAAGGCAGACTTTTAACTTAGGTCCATCAGCATTTAGGTGGCTTGCACCTCAAAAAGAGCCTGCAAATATGGAAAGGGGATTTGAAATGAGCTTCTCTCAGCTCAGTAAAAGTACTGTGGCCACAGGGACTGTGTTGCAGACCTTTTCTTTCCCTCGTGAGCTCAAAAAGCAGCCAAGTTACAAGGCCAGTACTAGAACTTCACATCAGTATGTGAGATTTTAACCAGGTGACGACGTCTGGCTCAGACTAGACCAAGTCTGGTCATGTTCTTTCCGTAGGTTTTAGGTATTTCATTGGGTTGAAGCCTGGTGGCAATGTTGTATCTTAAAAATTGTGTCTAGTCATCACTTTTGGCTTAGGCATTGAGAGCTCGCTTTGTAATTCCAAGGTACCCAGTGTGATTCTGGCCACAAGTGATTTGGCAGCATACCGTCTTGCATTGATTTTCACATGGGTATGGAGAGCTGACTGTTCTGTGGAATTACAAGTACAAAATTTAACATCGCCTGTCGAAATCACAGCCAATAAATGCTGGGGTTGCTTCTGCAACATCTGGCCAATGATGTGCAACTGACTTTTATCGTTCATACCATTCTTCAAACTACAGTTGAAAAGATAGCCACAGCTCAGCTGAAAAGAGTGAAAATTAGTCAATTCTTCCGTGTCATGTTTTGAGTTTACCAGTTCCCTGTGTGGGTCTCAGGGCCCCATTGTGGGGGGGGGGGGGGAAGGGTAGATCCACTGCCCCCTTAAAAGCATAAGAATCAGCTGATTAGGGATGTTTCCTTTAAAGGCAGAGTGCATCTGCCTGAAAATCGAGGAACCAACAGTCTGCATGCAAAAAGCCCTGATATGTAAAACAGATGGGCATGCAGAACTCAGTTTCTGGAACAAGACTAAAGTTCAGAAGTTGATGAACATCAGAACTTTCAGAGGTTTACAGCTGATGAATGCAAAGAAGAAGAAATTTAATAAAAAATTAATGTGTGAAAAATTTGACATTTAGCCTTTACACAGAAACCTCATAATGTTGAATGTGACAGTGAACCTTTGTATAGTTTCTTTAAGAAAATTTAATATTCATTAGTTCTTCTGAGGAATGTCACCATTAACTTTTACAGGGAACTCTCATTAAGAATGCATCCTCATTCACGGTCGGCCACAGAGAAGATGACTGAAATTCAGAAAAGTATTGATGGCTGGGACGGCAAAGATATCATACAAATGTGCAGTAAATTTATCATGGGTGAGGGAGTCTGATTTGTTGTAAAGATATATAAATGTGCAGTAAATTTATCATGGGTGATTGAGTCTGATTTTTTTATAAAGATATACAAATGTGCAGTAAATTTATCATGGGTGAGGGAGTCTGATTTATTGTAAAGAAATACAAATGTATAGTAAATTTATCATGGGTAAGTCTGGTTTATTTTAAAGACATACAAATGTATAGCAAACTCATCATGGGTGAGTGAATCTGATTTATTGTCAAAATATCATACAAATGTATAGTAAATTTATCATGGGTGAGTGAGTCTGATTTATTGTAAAGACATACACATGTATAGTGAATTTATCATTGGCGAGTGAGTCTGATTTATTGTAAAGACATACAAATGTATAGTAAACTTATCATGGGTGAGTGAATCTGATTTTTTGTCAAAATATACAAATGTATAGTAAATTTATCATAGGTGAGTGAATCTGATTTATTGTCAGGTTTCATTGTTCATTTTATCAAGTGGCAGAGGGGGTACTACTGCCGTCTCTTTGTGGGTTCCCATTTTTGGGTGAAAAAAAATAAAAAAGAATAGATTTACTGCCCCTTAGCAGGCACGTCAGAATAGTGACTAAGGGTTTGCCGAAATCAAATGTGTCTGACCATAAGGCACAGATATCACAGCCTACCTGTGAACCACAGAACAGTGACTAAGGGTTTGCTGAAATCAGATGTGTCTGACCATAAAGCACAGATATCACAGCCTACCTGTGAACCACAGAACAGTGACTAAGGGTTTGCTGAAATCAGATGTGTCTGACCATAAAGCACAGATATCACAGCCTACCTGTGAACCACAGCACAGAGTCGCAACAGCTTTTTTAAACGGATCACAGAAACAGGACTAGTACTGGTGCCCAAATTCAGGGATGATGGCCGTTATCTTCTGAAAAACGGCCATATCAATTTCATTGTTTCATCATTTCCAGAGGGAACCTTGACAAAAATAACTGGCCGGCGGGCTAACCCTGAACGATACTGCTTTCTGTTTGATGGCCTCATTATTCTGTGCAAGTTAAACCCCAGAGGCCGGACATCAGTAATGCCTTCGCTGGAGTATAAACTGAAGGAGAAGTTCTTCATTCGTAAGGTGGAGGTGGTTGACAGGGAAGATACTGACGGTAAGTCATTTTTGGTAGTCTTCTCTGTTTCTGTCTCATCTCAGTTGTAGGCTTTCGTTTACTTCCTTCTCCTCCTACTTCTGTCTTTTAACTCCCAGTGGAGCATATGCCGTCAACCAACTGATGGCATGTCTTTTTTTTTTTTTTTAGATTTACTAATGATTGATTGAATGTTGAGATGTAAAGGGGTTAAACCACACACGGTGGTATACCAGGGCTAAGGACGTGTGATAGGGTACAGTGTAACTGTTGTTTGTGTTACTGATGGTCCCTGGTTGTGCACAGCCTCTCATTTCTGTACAGACTTCTTTTCTATTCTTGAGTCAACTCACTGTGACTTTGTCAAACTCACTGTCTTCAACTCTTTTTTTGTGTTGATGTATTTTTTTTAAATTTTTTTTACGTATCCAGAAACCATGAGTTGTAAACCCTTTGGCTCGGTACTATGGATATCGCAACGCTTCGGCATTGATTCAATTATAGGTACCCTTAATCTGGGAGAAATGTGGCTTTTCTGCCTACCCCCGGGAGTGAACCCGGACCACAAGGAGTTCGTCACCCGGCCGCCGCGAAAGTCAGGTTTAACCAACTTCGCTAGAGAGCCGGGCGTGTTGATGTATTGGTTTATATGTTTGGATTACTTTGATTAATGTTTATTTAGATAAATAAATAAATATTCTTTTACATTTAACTAAGGAGAAATTATTTATCTTAAAGTACCTTACTGTAATGAATGTTTCAGTTGTCATTAAAATATCTAAAGGTGGTGTACATTATTCATGTGCACAACAGGAAAAAGACACTTGGGAAATGGGACCTGAATGAGCCTGCCTCCACAAAGGTGTAGCAGAGCTAAAGAGGCTAACACATTAATGGGGAGGGGCATTTTTCTCAGGATCAGAAATTTCCTGAATCGCTTTGTCCAGTGGTTTCGTTTATATTACAATTGTAACATATTTTTTTTTTGAAATGACTATTTCCCCTTGAGGGTATTTTCTGATTGTTTTAATGGAAGTTAGCTATTTAAGTTACTGCCTAAGTTACTGTCTAAGTTACTAATGTTCGGTCCCCGAGTGTATGTGATCATTGCTTCTGACTTGCATGGCTGTGAGCTTGAGCCAGCCTCATCAGATGAGCCTCAGAGACTCTTCACATTTGTCCAGGAGGGAGAAGTGGTGTGAAAGAAACTGGGCACCTCACCTTATTATGCCACACTAGCATATGTGAAGGCCTAGTGTTTGACAAACAAATGACAGTTTCCACAGTAGGGACTATATTCATATCAGCTACCTGTGACAGTCAGCTGTTTTTTATGTTTTCTTTTAAATTAAGTTTGCTTTTGTTTGTCTGTCTTGTACGGTTTTTGTGTCTGACTTTTGTCTTCAATTTTAAAAAAAGTCCTCATAAAACAATTTACTTTGCACTTTTATCAGCTTGCAGCTGAATGCCTAAATAAGGGGTTGTTACTGGAGCTACAATGTTTGTGCTTTAGGCAAAGCTCTTAGTGGACAGTCAGCTGCTCTGTGGAGAGAAACTAAGTCACATGGTTGACTAAAGTTGATCCTCTCTCTTTCTCTGGTCTCTGTCCTTGGCCTGTCTGGCAGGAAACCCTACATGTAAGTCCCTCTACCACTTGAAGACGGAGATGCTCAGACTGGTTATGTTTTTGATTCTGTGACCTTGATCTTGCTGGACTTTATGTTTCAGATTTGAAGAATGCATTTGAAATCCATCCCCGTGAACACATGCATGTTGTGTTGCAAGCGAAAAGTGCCGATGAAAAAACCAACTGGATGGCTGCTCTCGTTGCTCTACAGACTAGAAGGTGATGTGTTGTATGTGTCTTTGGTTTAAATCACTGGTTACAGACTAGAAGGTGGTGTTGTGTTGTATGTCTTTGGTTTGAATCACCGGTTACAGACTAGAAGGTGATGTGTTGTATGTGTCTTTAGTTTAAATCACTGGTTACAGACTAGAAGGTGATGTGTTGTATGTGCCTTTGGTTTAAATCACCGGTTACAGACTAGAAGGTGATGTGTTGTATGTGTCTTTCTTTTAACTATCAGTTACAGACTAGAAGGTGGTTGCATTGTTTATCCTATAGATTTGAACGACAGTTACAGACATAGAAAATGGTGTGTTGTATGTGTCCTAGGTTTGAACCACCTGTCACAGAGTAGAAGGTGATGTGTTGTATGTGTCCTAGGTTTGAACCACCTGTCACAGAGTAGAAGGTGATGTGTTGTATGTGTCCTAGGTTTGAACCACCCGTCACAGAGTAGAAGGTGATGTGTTGTATGTGTCCTAGGTTTGAACCACCTGTCACAGAGTAGAAGGTGATGTGTTGTATGTGTCCTAGGTTTGAACCACCTGTCACAGAGTAGAAGGTGATGTGTTGTATGTGTCCTAGGTTTGAACCACCTGTCACAGAGTAGAAGGTGATGTGTTGTATGTGTCCTTGGTTTGAACCACCTGTCACAGACTAGAAGGTGATGTGTTGAATGTCTTTGGTTTGAATCACCGGTTACAGACTAGAAGGTGATGTGTTGTATGTGTCTTTGGTTTAAATCACTGGTTACAGACTAGAAGGTGATGTGTTGTATGTGTCTTTGGTTTAAATCACTGGTTACAGACTAGAAGGTGATGTGTTGTATGTGCCTTTGGTTTAAATCACTCGTTACAGACTAGAAGGTGATGTGTTGTATGTGCCTTTGGTTTAAATCACTCGTTACAGACTAGAAGGTGATGTGTTGTATGTGTCCTAGGTTTGAACCACCTGTCACAGAGTAGAAGGTTGTGTATTGAATATGTTGGTCATTAGTCAGGGTTCCAACATCACGGCAGACGGGTCGCCCTCAAACTGATCTGTACAGCAACGGTGGAGATCACACAAAATGTCCTTCACTGTCGCATTTGAAAACTAGTGACAAACTTGTCAGTCCAAACTTGAACATGCAAAGTAAAAATACTTCAGGCAGCTGTCTGATGTGCCAGCACTAACAGTCCCACACCAGAATTGTGCAGCCCACTTTTGGTGCAAAAGGTCGATCATCAAAACCAACATTGCACCCGCAAAAGTACATGCCACTCCAAATAAATTAGCCGCCCACCATTTTAGTGCAGTCAGCAACATGCTGCGGCACAAAATCTACATCTCACAGTGGTGCACCAAGCACTCAGCTTGGATGCTGGGCAACAGAACCTTTAGACTCCCTGTCCTGAAACAAAACAGAACCTTTGAACTTCCGGTCCTGAAACGGAGAATTTGCTTCAGCAAAACCTAGCTTAAAACACATAACTTCATAGAGTGTCAGCAGTCAGCTGGCTATCGACCATTTTGGCCAGAAGTATGTGTCCTAAGTTGAAGCCACCGGTTACAGGCTAGAAGGTGATATGTGAATGTTATAGGTTGTTGCTTATATTATTATTTTCTGCAGAGCTGTTTAAAAGTTTCTGTCCACCACTCACTGCTCATAGACAAAGCTCAGACAGTGTAAAACAGAGAATGGTTGTCAGCATTGTTAAATAACCCAGTATGTGTTTTGTTTACAGTATGCTGGAGCGCAGCTTAGACAGCAAACTTCGAGAAGAAGAAAAGAACCATCCCCTGATTCTACCTCCTTCGGATGAGTATGAGTTTGCCGTGCAGGACTCGAACAAAAATATCATCTTTGAAGATAATCAGGAATCTTCGTATGAGAGTCCTCTAATCAAGGTAGGTGTCAGATTGCAGCCATCCTTTCATCTAAATGAGCTTTTGGTTTAACTTGAAAATCAGTTTTGTGGTCCAACACTTGACTGGTAGCACTGGCTGTTGTAGTCTATGTGGATGTAAATTGTTTCCGTTTTCTCTTTGGGTCCTTGTTTGCTTTTAAATCATATCTTTTTAGCTCTAATGCCTGTTTTGGTCGTTGTGAGTTTAAAAAAAAGGGGGGGGGGTGACGGACCCTTTTCTGCCTTCGGGTTTAATGGGCATATAGGGCTGGACTAATTTTATAGGCCATTCGGCACACAGTGGGTGATGTGGGCATCATCATGCTGGTCACCTTTACTTTCCAGGAATTTTCCTGGTACCCATTTAGGCTTTAATAGTTGTGGTTGCATTTAGACAATAAGACCAAAGCATTTTGTTTTCTGCTTTTCAATGAATTCAATGCAAGATGTTGTATCCACGCTATATCTGATCATATTATTTTTAATCTCACCATTACATGTTATTTTATAATCACAAATGCTTTATACAATTATTTTGTCAAATACTTTTATTAACTCTTAAATGTCAGGACAGATTTGCCATGTTTCATGGAGTCTTGAGATTTTAGATACTGACGAAGGTAAACTACGATTCAGTTACCTTGTTTAACTTGCCAGCCCGAGAAGACTAAATCTAGTAACTTTGAGTTGCGACACAGTCCTGTAAATGCTGATATATCGACCTGTCTGCAGGAAGCGGTTCTAGAAAAGCTTGGTTAATTTCTATTGGTTCCATATGCGCCTAGGATAATTTTTCTGTAAGCCTCAATGATAGAGGTCACAGGGTCGTGGCATGAGTCACCTGATACAAAGTGTTTTTTCTCGCCCCAGACGAATGTATTCTATTTAATGCTTCATTCAGTTCATGTTTAATGATTATCTTTTTTTTTAATACATATCTTTATATATTTCAAAAATAAATTTTGTCTTGTAGATACATTAACTTTTTAATAAAAAATGTGTGACCAGTGTACAAAAAAATATTAAAAAAAATTTTTTTGCAGGGAGTAATCACTCGGGGAGTGAGAGTGTTAAAGTAGGTTCTCAGGGAAGGAAAAGCATTACAAAAATAAACTAGTCTGTCATCTCAGTATTATATTTCCTAATGTGTGGGACAGAACTCACTCAGTGTTATATGGCCTAATGTGTGGGACAGAACTCATTCAGTGTTATATGGCCTAATGTGTGGGAAAGAACTCACTCAGTGTTATATGGCCTAATGTGTGGGACAGAACTCACTCAGTGTTCAGTGAGATTATGTTTACTTTTAGCTTTTTACAGGAGAGTGTGGTTTGTGTATTTCAGTGGAAATGATTCATGTTTTGTGCTTCATTATAGGTTGATGTAAAAAAGGTTATAGCAATACACCTGATCAGATACATCCACATTTGCAAGGCAGTAACTTGTTCAGTAAAATATTTTTATCCCGTCTCGGAAACTGAAATATTTTGATCATATCAAGCCTCATAACGGATTGGAAAAAAATTATAGCAGAAGGCATGGTACCAGGAAGAAGGGGCAGGGGCCGACGGGCATGAAGATGGGCACAGGATATAAGTGTCTCCTTGAGTATGAAAGTTCATGAGGTGGGAGAGCTGGCAAGAGACCTAGTTTCTTTCAAGCAGACCTTGGTGGGGAGGACCTGCTACATGATGATGATAATATTTTAAATGTTATTATTTAAATTGACAGTTTGAAAACATTGTTTTGAATGTTACCTTTGTTGTTATTGCTATGTTACAGGGTGGACAACTCATCAAACTTACAGAGAGACTGACGTACCACATGTATGCAGACCCTCGCTTTTTACGCACATTTCTTCTGACCTACCGTTCTTTCTGCACTCCCAAAGAGCTCCTGGAGTTACTCATAAGGCGGTATCCTTTTTGTCCCTAATAAATATGCGGTTATGAGACTTGATTGTTTTACCTCTTAAGTTTCACATACAGGATTTGTCATTAGGTTTTATGGCTTCTATTTCTTCTCACCTTCCTCATGTCTTCTTTACCTTCTCATCTTTCTCCTCCCTGTTCTTATTCTTTTCCTTCTCATCTGTCTCTTCTCATACCATCTCATCTTTCGGTTTCTTCTTCTCCTTACCCTCACCTCTCTATTTTATTCTGCGTTATATGTTCTTTGTCTGCCTTCTTTTATTTTTTTTTCCCATCCTTCATTTTTTACTTAGAGATGCCAGCCTGTTAAGAAAATGAAACATCTAGTTTTAGTTGTGCAAAAGCAAGGGGAAGACGACGAAGGTTACAGCTAAATGGTTTGGCTGTGACATAACGTGGGTGAAATCAGACTTGATCTGAGATTGTTCATGATTGTGTCAGATGTCCAACCATAATTGCATTGCTTATTGGCATGACATAATGGTGTTCGAATTACCTGTTTACAGAATGACCCAGATTCTTGCAGTAGATTGTCTCACGCTACCACAGTTGTCATCGTCTTTGATCCTTCTGGAGAAGGAAAAAAAGCGACAACTAAAGCATACTGGGAGGCCAGTAGCGTTGATGAAAACTATAATGCAGTCACATATCTCCCCATGTACCATACAGCTTTGTCTTGAGTGAGATGTACCGTACAGCTTTGTCTTGAGTGAGATGTACCATACAGCTTTGTCTTGAGTGAGATGTACCGTACAGCTTTGTCTTGAGTGAGATGTACCGTACAGCTTTGTCTTGAGTGAGATGTACCGCACAGCTTTGTCTTGAGTGAGATGTACCGTACAGCTTTGTCTTGAGTGAGATGTACCGTACAGCTTTGTCTTGAGTGAGATGTACCGTACAGCTTTGTCTTGAGTGAGATGTACCGTACAGCTTTGTCTTGAGTGAGATGTACCGTACAGCTTTGTCTTGAGTGAGATGTACCGTACAGCTTTGTCTTGAGTGAGATGTACCGCACAGCTTTGTCTTGAGTGAGATGTACCGTACAGCTTTGTCTTGAGTGAGATGTACCGTACAGCTTTGTCTTGAGTGAGATGTACCGTACAGCTTTGTCTTGAGTGAGATGTACCGTACAGCTTTGTCTTGAGTGAGATGTACCGTACAGCTTTGTCTTGAGTGAGATGTACCGTACAGCTTTGTCTTGAGTGAGATGTACCGTACAGCTTTGTCTTGAGTGAGATGTACCGTACAGCTTTGTCTTGAGTGAGATGTACCGTACAGCTTTGTCTTTAGTGAGATGTACCGTACAGCTTTGTCTTGAGTGAGATGTACCGTACAGCTTTGTCTTGAGTGAGATGTACCGTACAGCTTTGTCTTGAGTGAGATGTACCGTACAGCTTTGTCTTGAGTGAGATGTACCGTACAGCTTTGTCTTGAGTGAGATGTACCGTACAGCTTTGTCTTGAGTGAGATGTACCGCACAGCTTTGTCTTGAGTGAGATGTACCGTACAGCTTTGTCTTGAGTGAGATGTACCGTACAGCTTTGTCTTGAGTGAGATGTACCGTACAGCTTTGTCTTGAGTGAGATGTACCGTACAGCTTTGTCTTGAGTGAGATGTACCGTACAGCTTTGTCTTTAGTGAGATGTACCGTACAGCTTTGTCTTGAGTGAGATGTACCGTACAGCTTTGTCTTGAGTGAGATGTAGCGTACAGCTTTGTCTTGAGTGAGATGTACCGTACAGCTTTGTCTTGAGTGAGATGTACCGTACAGCTTTGTCTTGAGTGAGATGTACCGCACAGCTTTGTCTTGAGTGAGATGTACCGCACAGCTTTGTCTTGAGTGAGATGTACCGTACAGCTTTGTCTTGAGTGAGATGTACCGTACAGCTTTGTCTTGAGTGAGATGTACCGCACAGCTTTGTCTTGAGTGAGATGTACCGCACAGCTTTGTCTTGAGTGAGCTTTACCGCACAGCTTTGTCTTGAGTGAGATGTACCGTACAGCTTTGTCTTGAGTGAGATGTACCGTACACCTTTGTCTTGAGTGAGATGTACCGTACACCTTTGTCTTGAGTGAGATGTACCGTACAGCTTTGTCTTGAGTGAGATGTACCGCACAGCTTTGTCTTGAGTGAGATGTACCGCACAGCTTTGTCTTGAGTGAGATGTACCGTACAGCTTTGTCTTGAGTGAGATGTACCGTACAGCTTTGTCTTGAGTGAGATGTACCCTACAGCTTTGTCTTGAGTGAGATGTACCGTACAGCTTTGTCTTGAGTGAGATGTACCGTACAGCTTTGTCTTGAGTGAGATGTACCGTACAGCTTTGTCTTGAGTGAGATGTACCGTACAGCTTTGTCTTGAGTGAGATGTACCGTACAGCTTTGTCTTGAGTGAGATGTACCGTACAGCTTTGTCTTGAGTGAGATGTACCGTACAGCTTTGTCTTGAGTGAGATGTACCGTACAGCTTTGTCTTGAGTGAGATGTACCGTACAGCTTTGTCTTGAGTGAGATGTACCGTACAGCTTTGTCTTGAGTGAGATGTACCGTACAGCTTTGTCTTGAGTGAGATGTACCGTACAGCTTTGTCTTGAGTGAGATGTAGTGTACAGCTTTGTCTTGAGTGAGATGTACCGTACAGCTTTGTCTTGAGTGAGATGTACCGTACAGCTTTGTCTTGAGTGAGATGTACCGTACAGCTTTGTCTTGAGTGAGATGTACCGCACAGCTTTGTCTTGAGTGAGATGTAGCGCACAGCTTTGTCTTGAGTGAGATGTAGCGTACAGCTTTGTCTTGAGTAAGATGTACCGTACAGCTTTGTTTTGAGTGAGATGTACCGCACAGCTTTGTCTTGAGTGAGATGTACCGTACAGCTTTGTCTTGAGTGAGATGTACCGTACAGCTTTGTCTTGAGTGAGATGTACCGTACAGCTTTGTCTTGAGTGAGATGTACCGTACAGCTTTGTCTTGAGTGAGATGTACCGCACAGCTTTGTCTTGAGTGAGATGTAGCGTACAGCTTTGTCTTGAGTGAGATGTACCGTACAGCTTTGTTTTGAGTGAGATGTACCGTACAGCTTTGTCTTGAGTGAGATGTATCGTACATCTTTGTTTTGAGTGAGATGTACCGTACAGCTTTGTCTTGAGTGAGATGTACCGTACACCTTTGTCTTGAGTGAGATGTAGCGTACAGCTTTGTCTTGAGTGAGATGTACCGTACAGCTTTGTCTTGAGTGAGATGTACCGTACACCTTTGTCTTGAGTGAGATGTAGCGTACAGCTTTGTCTTGAGTGAGATGTACCGTACAGCTTTGTCTTGAGTGAGATGTACCGTACAGCTTTGTCTTGAGTGAGACTGAGCTGGGAATAGGTCTGGTTGCCTCCTTGTTAGCAGCATACAGTTGACAGTGTTGGAGCACATGCTCAGCATTTTCTGGTACCATATTGCAGGGACATGTCTCAGTGTTTCCTTCATCAGTCTTGTGATCTTTAACTGTTGAAAGCTTTGACATCCCAGAGCCCAAGTTTGATACCATGTCACTTCTTGATGATAACGCTGCCCTGAAAATAAGAGAGGACTTGAAACGCTTCCGAAATGAATATGTGAAGCCAGTTCAGTTCAGGTGAGTGATCAAGCTGTTGATTGTGGTCATTGGATGTGAAATCATTTTTAGTCACTTCTGTTTTTCTGATTTATTTATGGTCCCTTTTGTTAATGTGGATTGAGAATCTGTTGTATGGGCCGGGATGAGAGGCAGCATGAGTATAACTAAAGAAACTAGCAGTCAACTTGAGGGTGTTGACATTTTCAGTGAATTTGTCCTCAGGTTAAGTGGGTGACCACAGAATAATCATGTGTCATCTTCCATGGCATGATGCAATATTCTCCTGCCTCCCATTCTCTCACCTCCCTCTCATTCTCTCACCTCCCTCTCATTCTCCCACCTCACCTCCCTCTCATTCTCTCACCTCCCTCTTTCTGTGCGTGAACCATTCTGGAAGAGATGCAAAGCAAACATTGATCTTTGAAGACAATAATTGTGCACATTAGACACTTCCAGAAAATGTTTAGCCACTGTTTAAAAAAAAATGTGTGTACCTGCTGCACCCACCACCTTCTGCTTCCTATCAGCGCTATGAGAGTGAGGTCTGATGTGGCCATGGGAGCCTTGGAAGCAAAGTGACTAGCTGCTGGCCTGAAGCACCTGAGTTCAAAACTAGGGATTTTAAAAAAAGAGATGACCTTGGCACCCTGGTCAACACAACATAAAATAGACACAGGAAATGTCCTGGAAAGTAAAGGTGGCCAGCTTGATTTTAACCACACCATTCAGAGAGTACCAATCGGTCTACACAAAATGAATCTAGAAACATTTACTCGATGCGCCACTTAATGTAAACATGGTTCTGTACTTTGTTATGTTGTTCTGTCTACAGGGTGGTGAACGTTTTCCGTCACTGGGTTGATCATCACTTCTACGATTTTGAGCGGGATCGTGACCTGCTGGAAAGGCTTAATGATTTCCTGCGAACAATCAAGGGCAAGGCCATGCGAAAAATGGCTGACTTAATTTCCAAAAGTATACAACGGAAGGTTGGTATTTTCACTGCCAAGCTTCACATCTTGTTTCTCATGTTTTATTTTACACTCTTTAAATCTGGGTTAGGAGCTGAGCCTCCGAGAAAATGTAGCAGCTGTAGCAACAACGGATCCCCAGTACCTATGAAATCCAAGGAAATAAATAAGAGACTACATTAACCTTGTCTATAGGAGATCCAAGGAAATAAATAAGAGACTACATTAACTTGTCTATAGGAGATCCAATGAAAAAAATAAGAGACTACATTAACCATGTATATAGAAGATCCAAGGAAATAAATAAGAGACTACATTAACCTTGTATATAGGAGATCCAAGGAAATAAATAAGAGACTACATTAACCTTGTCTATAGGAGATCCAAGGAAATAAATAAGAGACTACATTAACTTGTCTATAGGAGATCCAATGAAATAAATAAGAGAATGATTAACCTTGTCTATAGGAGATCCAAGGAAATAAATAAGAGACTACATTAACTTGTCTATAGGAGATCCAATGAAATAAATAAGAGACTACATTAACCTTGTCTATAGGAGATCCAATGAAATAAATAAGAGACTACATTAACTTGTATATAGAAGATCCGAGGAAATAAATAAGAGACTACATTAACTTGTATATAGAAGATCCAAGGAAATAAATAAGAGACTACATTAACTTTGTCTATAGGAGATCCAATGAAATAAATAAGAGAATGATTAACCTTGTCTATAGGAGATCCAAGGAAATAAATAAGAGACTACATTAACTTGTCTATAGGAGATCCAATGAAATAAATAAGAGACTACATTAACCTTGTCTATAGGAGATCCAATGAAATAAATAAGAGAGACTACATTAAGAGACTACATTAACTTGTATATAGAAGATCCAAGGAAATAAATAAGAGACTACATTAACTTGTATATAGGAGATCCAAGCAAATAAATAAGAGACTACATTAACCTTGTATATAGGAGATCCAAGGAAATAAATAAGAGACTACATTAACTTGTCTATAGGAGATCCAATGAAATAAATAAGAGACTACATTAACCTTGTCTATAGGAGATCCAATGAAATAAATAAGAGACTACATTAACCTTGTATATAGGAGATCCAAGGAAATAAATAAGAGACTACATTAACTTGTCTATAGGAGATCCAATGAAATAAATAAGAGACTACATTAACCTTGTCTATAGGAGATCCAATGAAATAAATAAGAGACTACATTAACCTTGTCTATAGGAGATCCAATGAAATAAATAAGAGACTACATTAACCTTGTCTATAGGAGATCCAATGAAATAAATAAGAGGGGGGGGGGACTACATTAACTTTGTCTATAGGAGAGAAATAAATAAGAGACTACATTAACCTTGTCTATAGGAGATCCAATGAAATAAATAAGAGACTACATTAACCTTGTCTATAGGAGATCCAATGAAATAAATAAGAGACTACATTAACTTTGTCTATAGGAGATCCAATGAAATGAATAAGAGACTACATTAACTTTGTCTATAGGAGATCCAAGGAAATAAATAAGAAACTACATTAACTTGTATATAGGAGATCCAAGGAAATAAATAAGAGACTACATTAACTTTGTATATAGGAGATCCAATGAAATAAATAAGAGATCCAATGAAGATAGAAATAAGAGACTACATTAACCTTGTCTATAGGAGATCCAATGAAATAAATAAGAGACTACATTAACTTGTATATAGGAGATCCAATGAAATAAATAAGAGACTACATTAACTTTGTCTATAGGAGATCCAATGAAATGAATAAGAGACTACATTAACTTTGTCTATAGGAGATCCAATGAAATAAATAAGAGACTACATTAACTTTGTCTATAGGAGATCCAAGGAGATCCAATAAAATAAATACATTAACTTGTCTATAGGAGATCCAATGAAATAAATAAGAGACTACATTAACTTGTCTATAGGAGATCCAATGAAATAAATAAGAGACTACATTAACCTTGTCTATAGGACCAATGAAATGAATAAGAGACTACATTAACTTTGTCTATAGGAGATCAAATAGTTCTTCTTAACAGAAATTCCTCTTATCCAGATTCAATTTCAAGCAAGAAAAATTGCCGGAGATAAAGAAATTGTTAACGACAACAGAAATTTTTAATATCCAAGATCATCTTAAGTGTATTATATTTAGTACCTCTGATATTGGTCGCCACTGTGTTGTAGTTGCTAGATATTCGCCAGTGAGCCCGAAGGTCATGGGTTGAAATCCACATAGAGCCTTGGTTCCCAGGCCGACCCAGCCTAAAATGGGAACCAGGTAATATCCTTCCTGAGAAGTGAAGACAGCCGCTGGGATGTTGACCACCCCGCCCATAACGTGCCGATTGGTCTGTCAAATATCATCAGTCTAGCACTGTATACCCATCATGTTCTAAGCTGATGAAGAGGATCCTTATTACTTGTGATGTTCACTAGCTAGCTAGTTTGACAATAAACAGATGTGCCCTGTTAGTCTGGTCTTGTTTAAAGTCATTCTGGAAATCTTGTGACTGGAGAGCCAGCAAAGGATGAAGTATCTGTCCAGCAAGTTGTGATGAGAGCCATGGAAGGATGAAGAATCTGTCCAGCAAGTTGTGATGAGAGCCATGGAAGGATGAAGAATCTGTCCAGCCATGGAGAGCCAGGATGATAAAGAATCTGTCCAGCAAGTTGTGATGAGAGCCATGGAAGGATGAAGAATATGTCCAGCAAGTTGTGATGAAAGCCATGGAAGGATGAAGAATCTGTCCAGCAAGTTGTGATGAGAGCCATGGAAGGATGAAGAATCTGTCCAGCAAGTTGTGATGAGAGCCATGGAAGGATGAAGAATCTGTCCAGCAAGTTGTGATGAGAGCCATGGAAGGATGAAGAATCTGTCCAGCAAGTTGTGATGAGAGCTATGGAAGGAGCTGCTACCTGATAAGGTTGTCAGTTGTTACGGACGCTGGAAGGAGCTGCTACCTGATAAGGTTGTCAGTTGTTACGGACGCTGGTAAAAGCCAAGTCAAGAGCCACTTGTCACAGCAGTATATGGTGCCAGCAGCTTGATTGTATGATTGTTATAAACCATTTGATGCTTTGAATGATGTGGTCAAGTCGTCTACTCCCCAAACATTTTCTAGAGCTCAGATTTTAAACATTCTGTATCAGTAGAGATTCCAGCCTATGACCACTGGTACAGCAGTCGGGTGTGCTAGCCACCCCCCCCCCCCCACACCACACACACACACACACACACACACACAGAGCGAGAGAGCGAGTCACCTTGATGCTGAAATATTGTAAGACAGGAATGATAAGTCATCGTTTGGTTCTAGCAAACACATTTTACCGGATAACTTCTTTTGCTTCATCATTGCACGCTGGCATATGCGAGTATGTCTATCTGCAGTTTGCGATCTTAACAGCATTGATCAGCTCTGGGTACAGTTTTTGAAAACGCTTGATTAACTGGGAAATAATATAAAAATGATGTTACAAGGAAATAATGTAGTGGAGGCTTCTGCTTGCCTGTAGCCTCTGTGTATGGTTTGACTCCTAGTAGCTTTTGTCTAAACAGGCTCACCCTCCAGGGTGGTTATCTTACCTGCCGGCGGTCATGTCACTGGGTTTTGAGGTATTTCATAGAGTAACTGTCCACTAACTGACACCTTCAGTGTTGGTCTTTGGCTGCATATTCAATATATTTGCTTCTGACCTCTATATACAGGCCACTGTACCACCCACCACCTGGTGGCTGCATCTAGTGTTGGGACCAGTTCCAACTCTAAGGATTTTTTGATATATTTTTAAAAAGTAGAGTAGAAATTGTAATCGTAAGACACACTAGACAACAGAAACAGAGGTTGAAATAAAATGAAGACGTGCTGGAAATTCTGACCTGCTACTAACTTATCTTTAACTAGATAGACTCTTTCGGGAGCCAAGATCAGTTAAAACAAAACAAAAAAAACCCGCCTTGTTACAGATTTGTTTTCTTTGTGTCCACTGGCTGTCAACTTTGGCTGACAATTCTAGTTGTTTGCCCACCTTTGGACTTTAGTCTTGTTCCATTTGACAGATCTGACTTATTTATATGCAGATTGTTGGTTCCTTATGTCTCAGGCAGATGCACTCTGACTTAGAAGAAAGCACCCAAATAGTCATTCCCTATGACATTGGGGAGGGGCGGTGTGTCTATTGTTTTTCCCTCAATGAGGCTCAGGAATCCATCTGTGAAGTTTCAGATTTGAGTGCTAGACCTTTGGCCCTGTGGGCAGGGTTATCTATCCATTAGGCGACAGTGGCGCTCCCTCTAGTTATTTGTGCTGTACAGTAGACAACATGCTTTGCTTACCTCACATGTTATGTATCAGTTATATTTGTCAATGACCCCTTTCTTTGTTCTGACAGCTTCACCCAATCGAGATTGCCCGCCAGGTGACTCTGCTAGAATTTGACCTCTACAGAGCCATCAAACCGTCAGAGTTGATTGGCATGCCCTGGATGAAACGGGACAAGCAGCAGACAGCACCAAACTTGCTCAAAATGATACATTTCTCCACCAATGTAAGTGTTTTCCTTGTGTCATCATTGTCTGTTACCAGAACACCCCCCCCCCCCCCCCTCAGGACTCCATTTAGGGGGGAATAGGTCCACTGCGCCCCCCAACCCCCCCACCCCAATAAGAATTTCTAAAAGTAGACTAATTAGGGATGTTTCCTTGAAAGTTGAAAGTCAGATAACATCCGCCAGAGAGACGAGGAACCATCAGTTTGCCTACAAATCAACAAGATCTCTAAAATGGATGTGCATGCAGAACTCAAGTTCTGGAACAAGACTAAAGTCCAGAAGTGGATGAACAACCAGAACTTTCCACCGCCATTTACAGCCAATGATTGCGAAAAAAGAAGAAACAATACATTGGAGACATCCTAGTCTGTACCCCCCTCCACCAACATTGGACCCACGGTGCTTTAGTGCAGTGACTTCACTACCAAGAAGAGGGCTGTGATGGTCTAGAGCACGCCTTCCAGTTTGTAGCCATATCCCAGTACATTGCTTTACCACATGGAAGACCTGATGACTTAGTGGTCATTGTGTTATGAGATAGACCTGATGACTTAGTGGTCATTGTGTTATGAGATAGACCTGATGACTTAGTGGTCATTGTGTTATGAGATAGACCTGATGACTTAGTGGTCATTGTGTTATGAGATAGACCTGATGACTTAGTGGTCATTGTGTTATGAGATAGACCTGATGACTTAGTGGTCATTGTGTTATGAGATAGACCTGATGACTTAGTGGTCATTGTGTTATGAGATAGACCTGATGACTTAGTGGTCATTGTGTTATGAGATAGACCTGATGACTTAGTGATCATTGTTTTATGAGATAGACCTGATGACTTAGTGGTCATTGTGTTATGAGATAGACCTGATGACTTAGTGGTCATTGTTTTATGAGATAGACCTAATCCTACTTGGAAAAGGGGGGGGGGGGGGGTGATTGAACTTCAGTTTAGTAGACCACTGTGTTTGTGTAAACCAGTGCGCTAGCCTCCACATAAGGGAAAATGATGTGCTGGGAGGGGGGAAGTAGTTTGCAGGACCTGACCAACATCTGGACATACCTATTTTTTAATATAGTATTCTCAGTCTGGCTTATGCTCTAAAGACTGCTGTGCCTCCTCAGTGCTCTTGGAGAGTGACAGAGAACTCAACAACACAGTCACTACAGAGCTAAGACTTCAATACAGGGTCAGGACAAAAGTCCTTGCATCATCTTCATTCCAGCAGATGCAAGAGTTTTTTTTTTTCCTTCAGTGTTCAGGTTGTCTCAGGAATATCATTACATTAGGATGCAAAAACCAAAATTTCATTTGCCATTCTTCCAGCCAGCAGTGTTGTAGGTCTGTGGATAAAGTATCAACAGTTTATCATATTGTTCACATTCTCATTTTTGCAATCTTTTTTATCATTTAATATTTCCAGTTCACCTACTGGCTAGAGCTCTTCATTGTGGAAACAACAAACCTAGAAGGAGCGAGTAGCCGTTGTCTCCAGGGTCATTGAGGTCATGCTAGTGTTTCAGGAACTGAATAATTTCAACGGAGTTTTGGAGATAATTGGTGCCCTCAACTCAGCATCTGTGTTCCGCTTGGAACATACTAAAAAGGTTACTGGCTTGTTTTGATTATTGTTAAGATACTACTACCAAGGACAAAATAGTTTGATCTCTAGCTGTGTTTTCCTTTGTGTCTATGTGACAGGGTTGTCTATGTGGTGCAATGTTCTGTGGCAGTCCTGACACATATCCGAACCATTTGATCTGTTGCCTTCTGATGTAATTTAGCACTGGTTCTATCCCATCCTGTCTCCTGTTATCATCATTTATAGTCCTGTCTCTTGAAATAATTAGATGATTGACGCTGCTTATCCAGATAAGGAGGCATGAAACAACATTGTCTTTTTTCTTCACCATTTTGCCCCGAGAAGCCCAAATTTGGTCACTTCCAGCTGTGCCTGTCTCTGTAAATGCCATGTCATATCTGTGGTGGTCTGCTCTTGACAAGCAAAGTTACATTCCTGTGGTCCAAGGTTTGCCTGGCATAGTTTAGTAAGCCGCTTTATAAATATAGTAACTAAAAAATAGCATTTAGGGGTGTTTCCTTATGACTTATTTGGTTTCTTTTTAGTAAGCCAAGTTGATGTCAAATTTTCCTGTAAGCCTCATTGATGGAGGTTATGGGGTCATAGCATGAGTGACCTGATACACTTTTTGTATGTGAATGCACTAGAGTATGTGTGTCATTTAATGCTTCAACTCTGTTCATGTTTATTGATTACCCATTAATATATCTATATTCATTTCTGAATACAATTCAGCATGAAGATAAATACTTTAAAAAAAAGAAATTATGATGACCTGTATAATTAGTTGGTTTTTTCAACAGGATTTTTGCCCGGACATTTCTATGGGCTCATGATTTTTTATTTTTTTTATTTTTTAGCATTCCCGGGGTGAAAGGGTTAAGGTCATGCTGTATGGTGTCTGTCTTTGGTACTACAAAGCTTTTTGTCATACAGAAGTTCCTCTGTGCCATAATAACAAACTGTCTAACATCATCTTTTCTAATCTTCCCCTGCCTCTCTTTCCCTCTGACTGAAGGGCTGAGTGCTCTCGAGGCATAACGTCCACCTTAAAGGCTGGAGGTCCTGGGTTCAAGCCCCGGTGAAGGCTGGGATTTTGTCATCTGGACTTCTAGTAATTTCCTCTGGTCTCTGGGTAGTTAGACCGGACGCCTGTGTGTATTGTTGTGCACACAAAAATCCCTTGGCAGTTGGAAACTTACAGCACTGGCCCGGGCAACATTTTGAGTTGAAAATCTACCCAAAGTATTTCAGGATCCTCGCCGGTGCTACAGAGTTTGTGCACAGTACTGAGATTCTTCAGACTCGCTTTAGTTAGAAGTAGAACGGAACACTTATGGGTTACTACCCTTGTGCCATGATGTTGATCCATTGCATAAACTAAACCAACCGTAAACCAATCCCTCTAACTGTTCTATTGTGACAACACATTTTAGTTGTCCTCTTACACAAGACATGCCTAAAGAATGTCAGTTGTCTTTTGGTGTTTAACAATAGTTTTCATGTAATGGTCACTGTTTGTGTGAGACTCATCCCTGAGTTCATCTGTCCACTCTGTTCCCCAGGAGCTGGCTCACAAGTACCAGAAAGCATTAGAAGAGGCCTCCGAGCTGAACAACGACCACTTCAAGAAGTATATAGAGAAGCTGCGGTCAATCAACCCACCTTGTGTTCCATTCCTAGGTGAGTGCAGACAACTGTTTATAACGCTTCTGTTCATGACACACACTACACACCGACATTGGTAATACAGGGCTACACAAAAATCCTCTTCTCTTCTTTTTCTTCTTCTTCTTCTTCTTCTTCTTCTTTTTCTTCTTGATCATAGTGCACCAAATCTCATGGTTCTCATAACGTTCCCCAGAACCTCCTAACTTTCTACATGTAATGTCCATACTTGTGAGGACAAACAACCTCACACTGTACAAATAGGAGAAGCATTTCATATAAAGCAGAAGAGTATTGCAGACCCTGTGACATACAAGATGTAGACTCTGACATGTTCTTATCTAGAATTCTTCTGACTGGTGACATTTCTCTGCTTGAAGGTATGTACCTGACCAACATCCTGAAGACAGAAGAAGGGAACCCAGACTTCATGGCTAATGCCCCTGAAGGCATCATCAACTTCAGCAAGAGGAGGAAGGTAGCAGAGATCACCGGGGAGATCCAGCAGTACCAGAACCAGCCCTACTGCCTGCACCCGGAGAACTCCATCAGGGTCTGTGCCTTGTCACCTGCGTGGTTGTGGTTGGATGTATCACATTTGTGATGTTGGTTGTTGTGTCATGTCACATTTAGGATTTTGGATGTCATGTCACATTTGTGATGTTGGTTGTTGTGTCATGTCACATTTATGATGTTGGTTGTCATGTCATGTCACATTTGTGATGTTGGTTGTCATGTCAGATTTGTTATGTTGGTTGTTATGTCGTGCCATATACTATGTTCTGTCAGATTTGTGATGTTGGTTATCATGTGATGTCAGATGCTATGTTGTGTCAGATGTGTGATGTTGGTTGTCATGTCATATGCTATGTTTAAATAATGCGGACACAAACAATACATTGCACAATTTATTGCCAGGCATATTTCGCTGTATCTGGTCAGGTGCGTTACTACAGAGTTACATCAACATAAAATAAAGCACAAAACTGAATAAATCCAACTGAAAAGAGAATAGTTTCTTCCGATACATTGTATGTGTTTTATGGCCGCTGGAAGCTCATCGTAGTTACGTGACTTACCAGGGTAACGTCAAATTTACGATGAATTCCGTCTGCTTACAGAGGAGGGGGTTGTTGATTTTTATTGTTAAAGCTTCGGCGATTCTCAACATTCTCCTGTTGGTAGTGTGGTCAACCACATGAAAAGCATTGTCTGTGTCAGTTACGTGTCAGGAATTAAGTAGATGACCTCCTGTTATGGGAAAACATTGTTTTGAATATGCTAGGTTGTGTCAGATTTGTGATGTTGGTTGTCATGTCATGTCAGATTTGTGATGTTGGTTGTCATGTCATGTCAGATTTGTGATGTTGGTTGTCATGTCAGATGTGTGATGTTATTTGTCATGTCATGTCAGATTTGTGATGTTGGTTGTCATGTCATATCATATTCTAGGTTGTGACAGATTCGTGATTATGGTTGTCAAGTCATGTCAGATTTGTGATGTTATTTGTCATGTCATGTCCTATGCTATGTTGTATCAGATAGATTCGTGATGTTGGTTGTCATGTCGTGCCAGATTTGTGATGTTATTTGTCATGTCATGTCCTATGCTATGTTGTATCAGATAGATGTTGTTTGTCATGTGATGTCAGATTTATAATATTGGATGTCATATCAGATTTGTGATGTCTGTACGACGTGGAGTGTGATGTTGGGGAAGTATCAGAGGTTGACTGACAAAATGACAGTGAGGGATGCTTCAGTAACTAGTTAGCGGACTGTGGTCGGGATTTCTTTTTGACTTTATTTTTCACCGCATCTACCTTAAACCTGATGGCTGTCCCTCCAATGGACCCATCAATCTGAGGGTTTAAGGTAGATGCACTATGCGGTGAAAAATAAAGTCAAAAAGAAATCCAGACCACAGTTCGCTAACTAGTGACTGAAGCATCACTGACTATCATTTTGTCAGTCAGCCTCTGATACTTTCCGCACAACCGTCCATTCTGGAAATAACACAGACAGAATTCCTATCTCACAATCCACCAAACCCATTAGACAATTCACAGGAGCTCCAACAGAATAAAAACTCCTTGTTTTAACACATCAGACTGGAACAACTCATGCACAAACATGTGCTTACACTAAGACTGACCGAGGGCACCTTACGGATTTGAACCCAGGATCTTGAGATCCAGAGGTAAGCACCTAGCTGCTGCACCATGGTGGCCACATTAAAAATTATGTGCTGGTGATTTTTTCACATGTATTTCTGTTTGTGTGTGTATATGCTGTAAAACCTGGGATTAGAAACAGGAAAAGGTGTTTGAAGGTACAGGATATCAAAACACAGTTTGTAACCAACTGCACACCGACACAGGTGGTCTGCAGCCATGTGAGCTGTCTGGGGATGTTGTTATCTGTATGTGTTTCAGCTGGGGGCAGAGACATTCATGTGTGATGTGTCTTTGTTGTGCAGGAGTTCTTCGCAGTGCTAGACCCTCTGAAGGAGAGGAGCATGAGTGAGAAAGAGCTGGAGGACTACCTGTTCAAAACTTCATTAGAGATTGAGCCAAGAGATGGCAAGCTCCCCAGAAATGTAAGTGCTTATAATCAGGCATTTCATCCTTTCATCTGAAACTGCTATCCACTATTGTTAACTTCGTAGTGTTTCTTCTTGTGTACAGAAGTACTGTGGGTCTTTTTGAGTGTTTACTCATCTGTTCTGGGGTATCAGGTCTTATGGCTTGCCCCCATTTTTTTGGGGGGAGAGTTTTGAATTGTTTCAGTAAAGGGGATGCATTGCACAATTTGTTGCCCTGCATATTTTGTTTACAAACATTGTTGAGAAAAGCCAGCAGTGCTGATCTGGATTCCATCCATGCTGTTGAAAGTATTCCATCCATGCTCTTAAAAGGATCCCTTCTTTGATGTTGAAAGGATTCCATCTGTGGTGTTGAAAGGATTCCATCCGTGATGTTGAAAGGATTCCATCCGTAATGTTGAAAGGATTCCCATCAGTGCTGTTAAAAGGATTGCTCAGGATACAACACATTCGAGGAAGATAATCCACTTGGTGATGATGTTATTCTGCGTGGTGATGATGTTATTTTGCTTGGTGATGATGTTATTCCGCTTTGGGATGATGATATTCCGCTTGGTGATGATTTTATTCTGCTTGGTGTTGATGTTTTTCTGCTTGGTGATGATGTTATTCTGCTTGGTGTTGATGTTATTCCGCTTGGTGATGATGTTATTCTGCTTTGGGATGATGTTATTCTGCTAGGGGATGATGATATTCTGCTAGGGGATGATGATATTCTGCTTGGGGATGATGATATTCTGCTTGGTGATGATGTTATTCTGCTTGGTGATGATGTTATTCCGCTTGGTGATGATGTTATTCTGCTTTGGGATGATGTTATTCTGCTAGGGGATGATGATATTCTGCTAGGGGATGATGATATTCTGCTAGGGGATGATGATATTCCGCTTGGTGATGATGTTATTCTACTTGGTGATGATGTTATTCTGCTAGGGGATGATGATATTCTGCTAGGGGATGATGATATTCTGCTTGGTGATGATGTTATTCTGCTTGGTAATGATGATATTCTGCTTGGTGATGATGTTATTCTGCTTGGTGATGATGTTATTCTGCTTTGGGATGATGTTATTCTGCTTTGGGATGATGATATACCATTTGGTGATGATGTTATTCTGCTTGGTGTTGATGTTATTCTACTTGGTGATGATGTTATTCTGCTAGGGGATGATGATATTCTGCTAGGGGATGATGATATTCTGCTTGGTGATGATGTTATTCCGCTTGGTGATGATGTTATTCTGTTCTGCTTGGTGTTGATGTTATTCTGCTTTGGGATGATGATATTCCATTTGGTGATGATGTTATTCTGCTTGGTGTTGATGTTATTCTGCTTGGTGATGATGTTTTTCTGCTTGGTCATGATGTTATTCTGCTTGGTCATGATGTTATTCCGCTTGGTGATGATGTTATTCCGCTTGGTGTTGATGTTATTCTGCTTGGTGATGATGTTATTCCGCTTGGTGATGATGTTATTCTGCTTGGTGATGATGTTATTCTGCTTGGTGATGATGTTATTCTGCTTGGTGATGATGTTATTCCGCTTGGTGATGATGTTATTCTGCTTGGTGATGATGTTATTCTGCTTGGTGATGATGTTATTCTGCTTGGTGATGATGTTATTCTGCTTGGTGATGATGTTATTCTGCTTGGTGATGATGTTATTCTGCTTGGTGATGATGTTATTCTGCTTGGTGATGATGTTATTCTGCTTGGTGATGATGTTATTCTGGTGATCTGCTTGCTTGGTGATGATGTGATGATGATATTCTGCTTGGTGATGATGATATTCTGCTTGGTGATGATGATATTCTGCTTGGTGATGATGATATTCTGCTTGGTGATGATGTTATTCTGCTTGATATTCTGCTTGGTGATGGTGATGATGATGTTATTCTGCTTGATGTTATTTCTGCTTGGTGATGATGATATTCTGCTTGGTGATGATGTTATTCCTGCTTGGTGATGATGATATTCTGCTTGGTGATGATGTTATTCCGCTTGGTGATGATGATATTCTGCTTGGTGATGATGTTATTCTGCTTGGTGATGATGTTATTCTGCTTGGTGATGATGTTATTCTGCTTGGTGATGATGATATTCTGCTTGGTTATATTCTGCTTGGTGATGATGTTATTCCGCTTGGTGATGATGTTATTCTGCTTGGTGATGATGTTATTCTGCTTGTGATGATGTTATTCTGCTTGGTGATGATATATTCTGCTTGGTGATGATGCTTGGTGATGATGTTATTCCGCTTGGTGATGATGTTATTCCGCTTGGTGTTGATGTTATTCTGCTTGGTGATGATGTTATTCTGCTTGGTGATGATGTTATTCTGTTTGGTGATGATGTTATTCTGCTTGGTGATGATGTTATTCTGTTCTGCTTGGTGATGATGTTATTTTGCTTGGTGATGATGTTATTCTGTTCTGCTTGGTGATGATGTTATTTTGCTTGGTGATGATGTTATTCCGCTTGGTGATGATGTTATTTTGCTTGGTGATGATGTTATTCTGCTTGGTGATGATGATATTCTGTTTGGTGATGATGATATTCTGCTTGTTGATGATGATATTCTGCTTCGTGATGATTTTCTGCTTGTGTCTCATCAGAAATATCACTACAGAATTCGCTTCAACATATAATTATCTACAATAATTACACACATAGTTAAACACACACACACATGAATATTTAGAAGCTCTACCCTGTGTGACACACTCTTTATGTTGCATTTGTGTTCTGCACAGCCCAAGAGATTCCTAGACTACTCACTGAAGTCCCCAGGCATCAAACCCAGCACCAACCGACATGGAAGCAACAACAAGAGTAGTGCAATACCTCCATCGCTGCCCAAGATGTCGGAAGAGGATGACTCATCTCATTCAGTCTGCAATACCCCGACCTCACCCAACAAACCACAGAGTCCTTCAGCTATGGGAGGCAGTGTCAACAGTGTGTTTGTTAATTCTCCTGGTGAGTCACGTAAGTCAGGAGATGGCATATTCTCATTGTTATCACTCTTACCATTGTTAACACTCTTACCATTGTTATCACGGGAGGCCAGTCGCGGATCGGAAGGTCGTGGGTTCGCTCCTTGGCGGAGCTGGACTTTTTTCAATAATGACCTTGGCTCCCAGGTGGACCCAGCCTTGAGTGGGTACCGGGTGCAGACCTGGGAAAGCAGGCCGGCATGATGCTGACCACATCACCCATCTTGTGCCGATCGGTCTATAAAAATGTAGGTCTTGCCCTATACGCCTAAATTTGTGGAAAATGGTCCTTTACTTTACTTTACTTACTATTGTTATCACTCTTACCATTGTTATCACTCTTACCATTGTTATCACTCTTACCATCATCATCATTTGCAGCCATAGTGGCTAGATGCTCACCTGCTGACCTGAAGGCCTTAGGTTAGAATTCACATCTGGTCAGAAATGTTCTGTTTGGGGTCAGAAATGTTCTGTTTGGGGTCAGAAATGTTCTGTTTGGGGTCAGAAATGTTCTGTTTGGGGTCAGATATGTTCTGTTTGGGGTCAGAAATGTTCTGTTTGGGGTCAGAAATGTTCTGTTTGGGGTCAGAAATGACAGAAGACCAAGCCTAAAATGGGTATCAGATAAAGTTCTCCCCATGTGGGTCCCTCGGCCCCAGTGTGAGGGGCACACAAAAATAATATAGCCACCGTCTCCCTAATGTAGATTAATTTGGGTGTTGCCTTCAACCTCGGAGTGCATCTGCCTTAGAGACAAGGAACCAATAGTCTGCATACAAATAAGCTAGATCTGTAAAAACCAATATGCATGCAAAACTCAAGTTCTATCAAAACTTAATCCAGATGTGAAACAAACATCCAGAACTTTCCTCTGGAATTTACAGCGGATGAACACAAAGAAGACATGGAGTCCTGTGTTGAAAAGCGGCTGGTATAGTGTTTAACTGCATCCCCCATTGATTGTCGATTGGTATATACAAAAATAACTCTGGCATCATATGCCGGATGAACTACTGGCGTAAAAATTATCCATTACTCTAGTATCATCATCATTAACCAGTGCAGCAACAGGTGGTTGTTAGCACACATCGGCCTGTTTGCTCGACACATCATCATCATCCTGTGTCAGGTACATCACATGGAACGGATTTTCAGCTGGCTGCTTGCACGCCAAATATGGCCCGCGGAGACTTAGCAAGTGGCCCGCGGATCATTGCCAGCTGTATTGTGTTGACGATCTTTCTATGCTGGGGCATGGACCACTGGCCCATGATGATCCTCATGTTCAACGATTTGTCCCCTGAGTGAGCTTAGTTGAATAGCCCTGCCATAGAACATCACAGCCAGCAGGAAAGTCTTCATGCTGACTCATTACTTTACTAAAGTAGGTAGGTATCACGTGACTACATTTTTCTGTAGAATCAGTCAGTCAGTTTCACAGCAACTATCCTTAATGGCTACTTATGCCATGCTAGATAGTATGCAGTGTTCCTTTTCTTTGATTCCATTGTGGGCCTCTGTAAAACATGGGAGACCATCTTGTTACAGATGTCAGAGTCTTGTAACATTTAACGTATAATTTATTCAGATTGATTCTATCAAAGTCATTGGCTTCTGTCTGCATCGCATGCCCAGCATTATGTGCTCTTTACTGTGGGTTCTTCTTCTTCTTCTTTACGTTCGGTTTCATATGCTCAGATCAGACCATCAGGTGGGTTGCCTCTATGAACTCACATGTCAGCTGCAGGTCCTGCATGGTTTCCTTTAGCTTGCTCTACACACTTTGCTGTTGAGGCCAAGTGTCTTTTCGAAGTTTCAGGTAGAGTGGGCAGGTCTGCAGAATGTGCTGAGGTGTTTAGGGTCCTGTTTGACAGGCACACTGAGGGGGACTGTACAATCTTTATTTTATGCATGTGGTAGTTGAGCCTGCAGTATCCTGTTCGTAGAACTGGGGGTTCAAATTGAATACAATAATTTAATGGCAGATATTTCAGAAGATGGTTCTTCTATTTATTTCCAGTTTTCTGAGCCTAGAGCAAACTGTTTTCTATGTGGGAATTCTCTAATGGTTCTCAGATTCCATCATAAAGTTCAATCTGGGATTTGTAAGGAAAGTTTTTCCCTGCAGAAATTCTCCACTGAGGTCAAATCTGAATTCTGGAATTTGTGAGTAAAGATAATCTGTGTAGAAAAATGTTGGTACCTTTCCGACTTTCCAGATGAAAGTGTTATTTTGGACTGACAGCCCATGGCAGTGGTGAGTGTGACTAGCAAGTCCATCCCACGTTAAGAACAGTCTTTCACAATTACAGCATATGATTGCAAGACCCTGGTTGCCATTGCTTGTATTTAGTGTTCTTCATTTCAAACGCTCAGCTCTCATCATTTCTGCAGTCATGTTTTTTTTTCTTCATTCGTACTCCCTTCCTGATGTGCCCCTTACACGCAACACCGTCTGCCGCATGTATATAGAAAAGTAAAAACCAACAAATTACAGTTAAACCTAATAAACACAAATTTTAAGGGCACAAAGAATCAAAGAGTTCATGTCAACAACAAAAATGGTGTTAACCGCAGACTAGTAATAATAGAACATTCCTGCTGCACCGAAAATTATGTGTGTGTTAATCAAGTTTTTCTTTCTTTAAACTAATTTATGTTAATGAGGTTCTACTTCGTCTGTCTCAGTTATGCTTGACTTTCAGTGTTCCTTGTAGTTTGTTGTGTTGGTTAATGATAAATTTGTGCATACAGCCAATTTTTATTTCATTTTCTCTTCGCAGAGCCAAGTTCCAGTCCTAGCCAGCCGAACCCGATGCATTTCCCAGCTTCTTCAACCAACGCGCACGAAGACAAGGAAATCAGGCGTTCGCCGCCACCTCTCCCTCCTCGACGCAACACTGCACACCTGCCAGAACCGCCACCGACACCCCCTCCTAGAGTGGACAGTGATCGACCACCTCCTGTTCCTCCTCGTCGGGACTCTATGCCTTTACATAATATCAACCCGTCTCTGGCCCGTTCTTTCAGTGTTTCACATCCCCGCAATTCTACAGATACCCTGTTGTTTTCTGGTCACACCTTGCCTCGGCAGAATTTTGAAAGGCACAGTTCCGAACGTAGCATTCAGCTGAACCCAGTGAATATAAATGGCAGCGAGGATCATGGGGACCGCCCCAGTTTACCCCCTCGGACATACCTGGCTCATCTTGCTCATGCCAGAAAGCAGAGCAGCTAGTGTTGTACTATGTTGTATAGACTTGTTTGAGCCGGTTGTTTCCTGCATCACAGCACGTGTGTGTCCTGGCATGTCACCACCCAAACTGGTTTCAGCCGTTTCTTATCTGAATAAGTTATTATTGACCTCAGTTGGCACAGAATCAGCCGCCTGAACCAGTGAACTAGGAGACAGACAGGGCATGTGTGCTCTGTCTGCAGAAGTGATAAATTAAAACTGTTTTTGAATGTGCCGTGCTGAGACAGTAGCCACTGTTTGACAGCTGCATTTGTGTACGCAGTCATGTTTTCTGTGTGGCTGAGTCTTGTCTGAGTGATCTGTACTGTAAAGCTCACAGCTGTTGACAGCTGTGCTTTAAAAAAAAAAAAATTGTACATTACATCAGTAGACAGCACCAGGCTGTTGACAGTACACAGCTGTATATTGGACAGTTGTAAAGACAGTTTGTGTTGTAGTTACTACAGCATTCATGGTTTTCTAGCTGTGAGACAGAATGCTACCTGTTGACGGAACTAACCACAGCCTGAGAGACAGAACGCTACCTGTTGACGGAACTAACCACAGCCTGTGAGGCACAGAATGCTACCTGTTGACGGAACTAACCACAGCCTGTGGCTGTCAGCAGCAGTTTCCTGAATGTTGCAGAGCAGAAGCAGTCAGAGATATGCTGTGAATGTTCTGTTGGAGCGGTACTGTGATTGTTCTGTTGGAGCGGTACTGTGAATGTTCTGTTGGAGCGGTACTGTGAATGTTCTGTTGGGGCGGTACTGTGAATGTTCTGTTGGGGTGGTACTGTGAATGTTCTGTTGGAGCGGTACTGTGAATATTCTGTTGGAGCGGTAAGGTGAATGTGTTGAATCTAACTGCGTCTACTGACATGCACTGCAGTAATCTGAGCTGTACTGTTAGTGTTTTTTGCAAATAATGAGAGCTCCATCTACGGATGTTTACAGCAGTCATTATAGTTCCATCTACAGGTGTTTACAACAGTAATCATCAGTATATCTGCAGGTTTCTACATCAGTAATCACAACTCCAGCTGCATGTACCACAGCAGTAACCGAACCTATCTTTACAGGTATCTTCAGCAGTAATCAGAGCTACAGTAGCAATAGTCAGACATCAGTAAAAGCTCTGCATCTGCAGAAATCTACGCCACTAAACAGAGCTACCGTAGCAATAGTCAAACATCAGTAATAGCCCTGCATCTGCAGAAATCTGCGCCACTAAACAGAGCTACATTTGCAGTTTGACATCTGTACACTGCCAGTGTAAGCAGTAGTCACCAGAATTGTTGGTTTTTACAGCTGTTGCAATTCTGAATTCATTGGTGTCCACACCAATATCTGCAGCTTCATCTACAGCAGTACAGAGGCTTGCAGTAAGACAGAGGGCTGTGCAACCAGTGTCTGAAACAGTGTACAGTGCTGTCATTACAGTGAATCTCAGATGTGTCCATAGTGCTTCTTCATCATTACACTGCTTCTGTTTTTGTTTTGGAACTATGTGAGCACTCGCTAACTGATGGTTTTGAACAGCGGCGATTCCAGCAGTTAGCTGCAGCAACAGAACCCAACTGTCTACATCCAGGGCTGGAATTGGTGCTGTTTGCTGTCAGCATTCATGGTAGTATTGATTTATAGCAGGTGTCTGAGGTGGGGCAATAAGTCCTGTGGAAGTTCTCAAGCGATTAACTGTCAGAGTGACTAAATAAAGTTGCTATTGGAGAAGCTAGATATCTTTAGGATTTTCTGACCACATATAAGAAGTAAAAGAATATGTTACACGGTGTTTGGGGCTCAAGAAGGAGAGCCAGTCATATATGATGAATTGTTGTGACTGCATGAGCCCAACTGTGTGTTCGGTAAGTGGGGATTGTGTCTGCAAAAGAGTGAGAATTCTTTGCAGTAGAATGGGGGATTGTATCTGCAGTAGAGTGGGAATCATTTTATATTATAATGGGGGATTGTGTCTGCAGTAGAGTGGGAGATTGTGTCTGCACCTCTAACCTCACTTATATCTGCAAGTGTTTCACCTGTTGTTGTAAAGCTGTATACACTGTTACCTATGTGGAACTGTGTGTACAGGAGCTTTGTTAACAGAAACTTTGTATAGGAGCTGTGTGTACAGAACTGTGCATCCAGAAAGTGTACACACAACCTTTACAGAAGGAGTCTGTTGTAAATTTACAAGACAAGCTTCCAGGCTGTTTACAGCAGCATATCAATGTACAGTGCTAGATGTCTGTGCTATAAATCACCAGTAAAGCAGAGTGTGTCTTTGATAATGGTCACCAGTATAGCAGTGTGTGTCTGTTTATTCTGTAACAGTCACCTGAAGAGAAGTGTGTGTATGTTTTTGTGTACAGTTAAGAGCTTTGTGTGTGTATATATATATATGTATATATATATATATATATATATATATATATATATATATATATATATATATATATATATATATATATATATATATATATATATATATATATGTGTATGTGTGTGTGTGTGTGTGCGCGTGCGTGCGTGTTTTTTTTTCTCTCTCAATAGCACTCACTATGAAAAACATGTTTTGGTGTGCTATAGACTCACCAGTATACAGCTAACTGGGTGTGTGCTATAGCTGTCACCAGTATACAGCTGAGTGGGTGTGTGCTATAGCTGTCACCAGTATACAGCTAACTGGGTGTGTACTATAGCTATCACCAGTATACAGCTGAGTGGGTGTGTGCTATAGCTGTCACCAGTATACAGCTAACTGGGTTGTGCTATAGCTGTCACCAGTATACAGCTAACTGGGTGCGTACTATAGCTATCACCAGTATACAGCTGAGTGGATGTGTGCTATAGCTGTCACCAGTATACAGCTAAGTGGGTGTGTGTGCTATAGCTGTCACCAGTATACAGCTGAGTGGGTGTGTACTATAGCTGTCACCAGAACACAACTAAGTTTGTGTGTGCTATAGCTATCACCAGTAAACAGCTAAGTGGGTGTGTGCTATAGCTGTCACCAGTATACAGCTAAGTGGGTATGTACTATAGCTGTCACCAGTATACAGCTAACTGGGTGTGTGCTATAGCTTTCACCAGTATACAGCTAATTGGGTGTGTGATATAGCTTTCACCAGTATACAGCTAACTGGGTGTGTGCTATAGCTGTCACCAGTATACCGCTAACTGGGTGTGTGCTATAGCTGTCACCAGTATACAGCTAACTGGGTGTGTGCTATAGCTGTCACCAGTATACAGCTAACTGGGTGTGTGCTATAGCTGTCACCAGTATACAGCTAACTTGGTGTGTGCTATAGCTGTCACCAGTATACATATAAGTGGGTGTGCTATAGATGTCACCAGTTTACAGCTAACTGGGTGTGACTATAGCTGTCACCAGTATACAGCTAACTGGGTGTGTACTATAGCTGTCACCAGTATACAGATAAGTGGGTGTGCTATAGCTGTCACCAGTATACAGCTAACTGGGTGTGTACTATAGCTGTCACCAGTATACAGCTAACTGGGTGTGTACTATAGCTGTCACCAGTATACAGATAAGTGGGTGTGCTATAGCTGTCACCAGTTTACAGCTAACTGGGTGTGTACTATAGCTGTCACCAGTATACAGCTAAGTGGGTGTGTGCTGTGTGCTACAGCTGTCACTAGTAAAAAACTAAGTGGGTGTGTGCTATAGCTGTCACCAGTTTACAGCTGAGTGGGTGTGTGCTATAGCTGTCACCAGTTTACAGCTGAGTGGGTGTGTGCTATAGCAGTCACTAGTAATAAACTAAGTGGGTGTGTGCTGTGTGCTACAGCTGTCACTAGTATATAAATGGGTGTGTGCTACAGCTTTCACTAGTAATAAACTAAGTGGGTGTGTGCTACAGCTGTCAACAGAACTTTATGTGTGTGAGTGTAAATGGGCTATAACTCACTGCACAGAGATATAACTGCTATTAAAAAAAAAAGTCTGTATTTGTGAGAGCTGTGACCAGTAAAGAGCAATTTGTGTTCTATAATAGTAATCTGTTTGGAGTGTTGTCAGCGACAGTAATTAGAACCATAGTTATAAAAGTTCACTGAGTTGTCAGTGGCAGTAATTAGAGCCATAGTTATAAGTTCACAGTGTTGTCAGTGAAAGTAATTAGAGCCATAGTTATAAAAGTTCACAGTGTTGTCAGTGACAGTAATTAGAGCCATAGTTATAAGTTCACAGTGTTGTCAGTGACAGTAATTAGAACCATAGTTATAAAAGTTCACTGAGTTGTCAGTGACAGTAATTAGAGCCATAGTTATAAGTTCACAGTGTTGTCAGCGGCAGTAATTAGAACCATAGTTATAAAAGTTCACAGTGTTGTCAGTGACAGTAATTAGAGCCATAGTTATAAGTTCACAGTGTTGTCAGTGACAGTAATTAGAACCATAGTTATAAAAGTTCACTGAGTTGTCAGTGGCAGTAATTAGAGCCATAGTTATAAGTTCACAGTGTTGTCAGTGAAAGTAATTAGAGCCATAGTTATAAAAGTTCACAGTGTTGTCAGTGACAGTAATTAGAGCCATAGTTATAAGTTCACAGTGTTGTCAGCGGCAGTAATTAGAACCATAGTTATAAAAGTTCACTGAGTTGTCAGTGGCAGTAATTAGAGCCATAGTTATAAGTTCACAGTGTTGTCAGTGAAAGTAATTAGAGCCATAGTTATAAAAGTTCACAGTGTTGTCAGCGGCAGTAATTAGAGCCATAGTTATAAGTTCACAGTGTTGTCAGCGGCAGTAATTAGAACCATAGTTATAAAAGTTTAGTGTTGTCAGCGGCAGTAATTAGAGCCATAGCTATAAAAGTTTACAATGTTGTCAGCGGCAGTAATTAGAACCATAGTTATAAAAGTTTAGTGTTGTCAGCGGCAGTAATTAGAACCATAGTTATAAAAGTTCACAGTGTTGTCAGTGGCAGTAATTAGAGCCATAGTTATAAGTTCACAGTGTTGTCAGTGACAGTAATTAGAACCA